GTATGTGGTAGGGTATAATATCTTTTGCACATGAATAAATTTTCTCAGGGCTGTATGTTGAAAAAAGTATTTTTTCCTAATTGAATGGTCTTAGCATGTGGTAGCATATAAATATAGTATTATTTAGCAATAAAATGGAATGAAATAATGACACATGCTACAGCATGGACGAAAGCATGATGTTCAGTGAAAGAAGCCAAACAGAGAAATCATAAATTGTCTGATTTTTAAAAATATGATATATGTAATATAGTCAAATCCATAGAGTCGGACAGCAGATTGATTGCCAGGGCATAAGTGAAGGGATGAGTGGGAAGTTATTACTCACTGGAAATGAAGTGATTTGAAACTGTAGAGCGGTAGTGTTTGCACAGCATTGTTAAAGTAGTAGATGCCACGGAATTAAACACTTTAAACCATAAATTGTATGTTGGGCGAATTTCACCTTAAGAAAAAAAAAAGAAAAAACAACAATGGTAGAAAGTTTTAGAGATATCTTTGTATCTAACACTCTGCAGAGAATAAATGTAATTTTTTTTTTTACCCAGGAAATCCCAGAAGATATTCTTGCTGACTGAAAGAGAAAACAAAATGGTGTGCCATGAATTGAAGGATGCAATTGTGATTAACTAATTTTTATGTCATATTGTTCCCTCTAGTTCCAAGTGGATAGAGTTGTTCTAGGAAATATTCTGGTGGGCATGATATTCCCCATCTAAGTGATACACACAAGGCTGCATTAGAGCATGAAAATATTTTGTGCCAAATGATTGATAGATTTCATTCTGGCACTTACTTGTTTTCTGAGTACCTAATTTGTTCACTGAATGGTGCAGAAAGATGCCCAGTAGCCCCAACCTTCAAGGGATTCAAAGTTTAATAAGAAAAAAAGGATGTATAAAATCAACCCACTGTGGGCAGTAATAGAAAAGAAGAATTTTTCTAAGCAGCCTCCTACAGGAGCTCTCATTATAAGGGATTGAGCAGATAACTATTTCTTCCTCCGAATCAGTTCTATGGGAAAGATGAAAAGTTGGCTTTCCATTACTCTTGAAAAGAGATACTAATCCATCACATAACATGCCTCCACTTTGCCCAGGATTTCCTTCAACCTCTATCAGTGAGCTATGGAATCCTACCACTCAGAAGAAGCCTTAGCAGTTATCAAATCTATCTGCCTTTTTCATGCATGAGTCTTTGTTATGATAAATGGCCATTGTGCGTGTATCAAAAGTACTAGATTGCAAGAAAAAGAAAATGTAAATTCTGCTGAGCTAATCAATTAAAAATGGAGCTGGATTCTGAAGTTGTTTGACTTACAGGCTCAAAAATGGCACTAACCTCAGATTTTTTTCGGCCTATGCTTTGTGGAGGTTTTCTTAATTTTAACTTGCCTCCTTTGTGGCTAGAATATAGCTGCTTACAGCTCCACAGTTCCATGCTTCTCTGAGCAAATGCAGAAGTGAGCAAATGCACTGAAACTTCTATAGAATATAAAGAAAAACTTTTCCCAAATTCCCAAGGAACTAACTATTCCCATTGCCCTCCACAGGGGTATGGCCATAGCCAACCAATAGTGGGGAATGGGACTATGCAGGTTTATTTAGATACAAATTGTGCTAATTTGCTTGTTAGAATAATATGCTCCTGGAGAGGGCAGGACCACCAAGAAAAGGGAGAGAATACTGGGGTGACTGCCAAGGAGCTGGCATGAGTACTGATTTAGTCTTTGACAGCGTCAAGGCAATCTTTGTCCTCTAGCTGCAATTGCCTTCCCCACTGCACAGCTCCACTTGTAAGGAAGCATTGCCATAGCTTCCTCTGAATCTACTTTCCTGTTCTCTCCAACTCACTCACAATGCTCCTGCTTTTTTGTTAGTATAAGTTTGTGATACAAAACAGTTACATTCATCTTAGAGAACTGGTACATACACACCCTTCATCTTGATCATTTTTACTCCCCTACCCCCAATGCTCCCCTTTTTTTTCTTCTTCTGATCTGCTTTCTGTTTTCTCAAAATTTACTCCCCTGTTTCCTATGATTTCTCTTTAAATTGTACTACCCCCCCTAGGATTAGAGGTCAAATTAAATCAGCTATTACCCTTCTGGGTATTTACCAGAAGAATTAAAAACACCATACCACAGTGATGTATGTGCAGCCATGTTTATAGCAGCACAATTTGTAATAACCAGATCTTGGAAACAACTCAAATGCCTATCAACCAAGGAATGGATAAAAAAGATGTGGTATTTTTATACAATGGAGTACTACCTAGCCATAAAGAAGGATAAACTCAAGGCTTTTTTTTTAGGTAAATGGATGCAACTTGAGACCATACTCATAAGCGAGGTAAATCAGACTCACATGTGCAAACACCATATTGTCTCCCTACTGTAAGAAACTGAAAGAGTAAAAAGATCCAAAATGTACAATAGATACTGTTAAAGGGAAAGAAACTACTCAAAGCAAAAGAACAACTGGGATGGGGGAAAAGAACAAAAAGAAAAGGAAAAAGATATAAACGTATATATACTATAGTTCAGACAACTGTACTACTAATTCTATTAGTTCAAGGAAAGGAATAGTTAGTGTTCATATTGTTTGATAATTTTGCATGCCAATATCTGGTAATCTGAGCAACTCTTTTGAAGATAACTATATACAACATAACAACCATTGTTAAATTCCTATCGTCTTGGGCCAGGGATTTAGCTCAGTGGCATAAGTGCCAGCTTTGCAAGCTTGCGGTTATGAGTGCAATCCTCAGTACAAAAAAAATTCCTATCATCTTGTCTTGAAATCATACGTTGCTGTTGTTTGGAATTTTTGATGTCATTGTTGTTTGTTTCTTTTGTTTGTTGTTTGTTCTGTGTTTTTTTCTCTTTAAAATAAAAACATGTTTATATTTTGGGCCTCTCATATTAGAGAAACCATGCAATATTTAGTCTTCTGTGTCTCATTTGTTTCACTTAGTATTATGATCTCAAGATCCATCTGGTTTCCTACAATTGACACAAATTTATCTTCTTTATGACTAAGTAGTACTCCTTTGTTTATATTGCATGTACCACATTTACTTTATCTGTCGATGGGCGTATAGCTGGCTTCCATAATTTAACTGTTGTGAATTTTGATGCAATAAACATGTAGGTGCTTGTAGCACCATAATATGATGTTGTTGATTCAGCAAAGTGTCCAGGAAAGATAATACCTAGGACAAATGAGATTCCTATTTTTACTTTTTTGAGGAATATCTATACAGATTTCTATACTGTTTATATTAGTTTACATTTTACCAAACAGTGTAGAAGAGTTCCTTTTTTTCCCACAACTTAGCCAGCATTTGTTATTTTTCTAGTCCTTAAAGATAGCCTTTTTCTGGGGTGACATAGAATCTGAGTGTTGTTTTGATTGCATTTCTCTAATGGGCAAAGAAGCTGAGCACTTTTTCATGTGCTCACAGGCCAGTGGCTCCTTCTTGCCATGGTGCTGCTCTCAGAACCTGGCTGTTTCTTCCAGTTTATTATTCTGGATGTGCCTTCTTCCTTAGCAGCAGCTCTTCTGCCTGGACCTTCCAGGCCTTTACTGACTTCACTAACTCAAAAGCTGATTGGCTGTCCTGGAGAGGTTTTTCTATTATTTAATTCATAGTATTGAGGTTTGTCTTCTTTCTACCCTGTTTGAGGTTTCTTCCTCAGATCAAGTGCTGCATTTGTATTAGATAGTGGCTGTGTGACAGAACCTGTCTGGTCTTCCTCTGTAAAATGAAAATGACTGTCTTAATCCATTTCTCAAGGACTTGTCTTGCTGTGCAATTCCGTGATCTCTAATCAGAAGATTGGAAGTGACCTTAGATGTGTGTGTGTGGAGGTGGGGGGTGAGTGAACAAGTGAAAACTTGAAGTTTATCCAGCTTTGTAGCATTTGAGAGTAGTTTTGCATTTTTTCTTGCCTTGGACTTACACCGATTTGATCAACTAGCTCATCTGTGGCCAAAAATGAATCCCTATTCCTACTCTTCCCTTCCCTGATGCACAGCATCTATATACTTGGCTGGCTCAGGGACTGCAAGCCATCATTAAGCTGGGTAGCTGATCCAGTTGTGTCTGCAGATGTCTTCTTCTAGTTCCTCTTCAGGGGCCCAGGAGGCCCTGAGAAGAACTAGAAGGAGGGGGTGCCAAGGTGCCCACTGGCCAGATGGGCCTGGTCACTATTACCTTGGGGGAACACTGGCATCTTTCCTCACCCCCTTACTGAGAGGTTTGTCCTCCAGGATGCCTCTGGCTTTCTAGTGTGCTCCTTGGCCTCCCACCTGCTCCAAGCAGTGGCGGAAGCAAACTGGAGATTAAGGGGTTAACTGGAGGCTCTCCACCCTAGTTGTTGTGGGCAAGGGATGGGAACCACTCCTGGGAAAAGAGTCCATCTGAGAAGCCCCACTCTTATCCCAGAGTCCCTGTGGCGCAGAGTAAACAGAGGTGGCTCCTGTTGAAGGGGGAGGCCTGATACTGCTCTTTTAGTTCAAGGGAAGTTTAATTTCCGGGACTGTTTGTGGCTGGGGCTGGGGGATGACGGTATTCCAGATAAGGAGACACCCTGGCCTCAGGGAGCTTTGTGCAATGCAGACTCTGGAGACTCTGCAGTCTCCTTTGCTTAGGGAGCAGAGTAGGGACCAAGGCATTATCCCAGCTTCCAGGTTCTTACTCTCAGTAGGGGGCTAGCCAGCAGCAAGTGGGAGGTGGCCAAGTTAGGGAAGAAGGTAGCCTGGCAACAGCAGGGCTAGTTGTCAGCCTATTTTCTTTTTTAAGTTTTTTTTTTTTTTTTTTTGTCCCTGGAATTGAAATCATGACCTCGTGCCTGCCAGGCAAGCGCTTACACCACTGAGCGAAATCCTCAGCTCTATTTTATTTTTTTTTATTTTTATTATTTTATTTTATTTTATTTAAGAGGAAAAAGAGAAAAACACAAAACAAAACAAAGCAGTGTAAGGTTACACATAATACAGAACTACAAAAAAAGAAAAACATAACAGTAAGAAATCACCCGTTAATAGATTACATATTATCATCTTGGAAATAGTTGCTCAAATCACAGTATCAAAGAATAGAAAGTAGACATTCAAACAGAGAGACTGCAAACAGCTGTGTTCAATGATCCAAAAACATTAATATAGTCAGCTATTTAACACCCCTAAACACACTTGCTGTTATATCCGTTAGAGCTCTTTTTTTTTTCCTCCCTCTCTTTTTTACAACAAAATTTACACATTTTGGATTTTATTACTCCTTAGTTCTTATTACTTTCTTGGGGGGGGAGAGAATAAAGTCAAATATGGCAAAACAAAGCTGTCAGTCAAAACCAAGGATGGAAATATTTGAAGCTATAGTATATGAAGTTTTATCCAAATATTTCAAGGAAAAAGACAGACACTATGGTAACTACTATTCTTTAAAAAAATTATTTAGTTATTTCTTATGTTTATTTTAATTAAGGGAAAAATTTAAAAAATTAGGATATATAATAGTAACTCTTTTTGATTTCCTATTAACTTGTTTTGAAGTCCTGTAATACTCCCACGATCTTGTTTTGACTGATTAGACTCTGTTCCATTCTGTGTGATAGTATCAAGTTTGAGGGTATAGGCAACTACTTTGAAGGCAATAAGATTCACTAAGATGCCTATTTTATTTTTAATAACGTGTCTTGGACATCCACAGCAGAGCTTTCTAACTGCTGGCACCCTGCTGGGGACGTCTGGTCATCAGAAGCCTCAGATATAGTTACCTGAGATCTGTCAGTTGTGTGGCTGCTGAGCAAGCCAGACGTTTCAAATCTTCCCTGGATGCTGCAGCTTGGCCAGTTGGAAACTGTAATGGCCATTCATTTGGCCTTTGTTTTGCGTGTCGCAGCTACATGGGGCTGAGACTAGTGCCTGATCCTGGTAGCATGGAGGGACACCTGGTCGGGCGCAGGCCCTGGACTCTCCGTGATCAAGCCAGGACTGCCTTGGTAATCTAGTGGAGGATGGGGTGGTTTTGGACATCAGCTCGGCGTCCTGAGTCTTACCCAGCCAATACTTTAAGCTTCAGTGGTCTCTCACTGACTCCTTTTTCTAGTGGCTAAAAAGGAATTCCAGAAGCAGCTCATGGGTGCCAATAGGGATCAGCAGAACTTTAGTGCAGAGAACTTTCTGCAACATCTTGAAATTCTGAGGAGTTTTACAAAAAAAGAAAGGAAAAGGAGAAGAAAGGGAGAAAAGGAGGAAGTCAGTATTTGAAGAGAGGGAAAGAGGAGAGAGTCCTTGTGGAGATAAGGCAGCTTTGAAGTACAGATTTCAGGCTGGAAGGCAGCTTCCCTGAATTGGACATCTGGATTTGTGGATTTAAAACTGTAATGCTAGAGCGGTCCTTTGATTTATCTAGTCAAAAGAAAAACAGTGTAATCATGAGCCACCCTTTGACCTTTATGTGTACTAGACATTGAGGAACTTGGAATTTTTATATAAAAAACTTCCAAAACCCTTTCCTTTGTTCTCAAGACGTAGTTGATATAATTTATTACACTGGAAAGATGTCAGTTATAAGACAGCCAGTTCAGAACTAGATTCAGCCCTTTGTCACTTCTTGGCCTTTTAGCTAAGATCACATGTAGATTCAGCCCTTTAAGTTATGCACATTTATGTTAAAAAGCATTTTTTTTATTTAAAAGGAAAAAAAAAGAAAAACCAAAACAAAACAAGACAAAACAGTGTAAGGGTACAATACAGGACTCCAAAAAAAAAAAAAAATAAGTAAGAAATCACCGGTTAATAGATTACACATTGTCATCTTAGAAATAGTTGCTCAAGTCACAGGATCAAAGCATACAAAGTAGACATTCAAACAGTGAGACTGCAAACAGTTCTGTTCAATGATCCAACAAAAACTCCGTAATATGGTCATCTATCCTAACACACCTAAACACACTTGCAGTTGTAATCTTTAGAGCACTTTTTTCCCTCTTTTTTTTACAACAACATTTACACCTTTTGGGTTTTATTACTCCTTAGTTCTTATTACTTTTTTTTTGGAAGAGAATAAAGTCAAGTATGGCAAAACAAAGCTGTCAGTCAAATCCAAGGATAGACATAGTACATGATGTAAAAACAGAGTACAAGGTTATCAACAATGGTTACCATAATGCCACTTGATTCCTTAAAAAAATTGCCTATATCATTAGGTATAATTAAGTTGAACATTTCTTTTTTGATGTGGGAGAAAATTTAATGTTTTAAAAATATAAGCTGAGATGATTGTGGTGATACATGGCTGTAATCCCAGCACTTTGGGAGGCTGAGGCAGGAGGATAATAAAATGCAGCCCACCCTGGGCAATTTAGAAGTTAGTGAGAATTAGTCTCAAAAATAAGAATAAAAATAAAAATAATAAAGGTCAGGGGACATAGCTCAGTGAGGAAGGTCCCGGATTCAATCCCCCATACACACAGCAGAAAGCAAAGGCTCACTGCCTTTACTCTCACTTATTCATTCATTTATTTATTGCAGTGCTGAGGATGGAACCCAGCAGGGCTTACCAGAAGTGCTCTGTTCACTGAGCTGTATTCCCAGCTCAGCCGGTATTTACAATGGAGTGAATTTTCAAAAATGACTTTTTTTTGGTACCAGGAATCAAACTCAGGACCTTGCGCTTGCCAGGCAGGTTCTGTACCTCTGGCCTAAAAATAACTTTTAAAAGATCATAATTTATAGAAACATTTCAGAAAAAGTGTTCTTTTTTTTGGTACCGAGGATCAAACTCATGACCTTTCAGTTACCAGGCAAGTGTTTGAGCTGCTGAGCTAAATCCCCAATCAGGTGTTCACTTTTAAAATGTCATAAAGAAGGTGTAAAAATAGTGTTTAGCACAATATCTGGAATTTATTAAGCATTCCATAGTGCTCATTTCCTTTTCACTTGTTCCCAAAAAGTTACAACTTGATTTTTACCTAAAAGGATGTTAACAACTTTTGAATTTTTGGTTGCTCTTTGAACAGCACCTGTTTTGAATTTCCACATCCTAAATCAGACGGACCAAGTATCAGTGTGTGTGTGTGTGTGTGTGTGTGTGTGTTAAGGATTGAACCCAGGGCCTTGAGAATGAAAAATCTGTGTTCTGATATTTAGTTATGTTATCAGTTTTTAAAAGCTCAACAAGAGGTCCTGCAAGTCAGAAAAATTAAGCTCTTTAATTAAAAATTGGAATTGTTGTAAAAGCTCACAATATCAAAACATTTTTAGGATTTGGAAATTACTAGGGGAACATTAGGGCAACCTAGGTTCTGACAGAATGCAGATCATTAGTAGAGGGGATGCTTTAGCTTCTGAAATCTTTAGAAGGGACAGGAATATTTACTTCATATGGTAGGTATGAAATCTAAGTGAGCTTATGTATGTCAGAATTAAGCAACATTAGTTTTTTTGTGATGTACTTTTGTTTTCTTTTATTCTAACATTTTTATTTTGAGAACAATAATTGTGAAGTGACTTACCAACATATACTCTCAGCTACTTGGGATGCTGAGACAGGAGGATCACTTGAGCCCAGGAGTTGGAGACTAGCTTTTGTTGTACAACGTAGAATTTTCCTGTTTGGACAACATATCTTTCATGAATAATGGGGGCCTAATGTTTTCCTTTACAATCTGAATGCCTTTTTTCTTGCCTAATTTCACTGGCTAGAGTTTCTTGTATTCTATATAATGCTGCTGAATACATGTGAGTGGTTAAGAGAGAACAGGTTTATTTTGTTTCTGATGTTAGGGGAAAGTGTTCAGTCTGCATTAGTGAGAGGTTAGCAGTATGGTGTTTGTTTGTTTGCTTTTTTTGAGTCGGGGTCTCCCTCTGTAGTTCAGGCTGGCCTTGAGGTCACTATGTAACTCAGGCCGTCCTCGAACTTGCAATGATCCTCCTGCCTTAGCCTCCTTAGCACTGGGATTACAGGTATGTACTACCAAGTCCAGCAGCTATAGGTCCTTTGAAGTAACCCTTCATTTTGAGGAAGATGCCTTCTATTCCTCATTTGCTAAGAGATTTCACCAAGTATGGATGATGCATTTTGTCAAATGTTTCTCTGTGTTTTTAAAGATTGAATTTTTTTCCTTTATTTTGTTAACATGGTGAATTGCAGTGACAGATTTTGATTTTGAATCTACTTTATATTCCTCAAAATCTTTGTAATCATGATAAACTATCTTTTAAAATATGTATGGTTAGATTTAACTTGCTAAAATTTTGTTAAGTTTTAAACAACTTTAGGGGCATTGGTCTTTAGTTTTCTTTGTGATATCTCTGTCTGGCTTTGGTATCAGGGTAATGCTTGATTATAGAATGAGTTAGGAAGCATTATATTTTATATTCTGGAATTGTTTCTACAGAATTGTAATTATTTCTTCCTTAAAGGAGTAAAGTCTAGGCCTAAATTTTCTTTGTGAGGCAATTTAATTCCAAATTCATTTTTGTATAGTTATGAAACTATGTAGATCATTTATTTCTTCTCGAATAAGCTTCGGCAATTTATGTGTTTTTAGAAATTAGTTCATTTGTTCATTTTACTGAAGTTGCTAAATTTACTAGCATAAAGTTGTTAACAATATTTCCTTATTTTAATCTCTGTACTAGTTTTTTTTTTATTTCTACAACAAATTGCTACAGTTTAATGGCTTAGGAAACACATATTATCGCACAGATTCTGCAAGTTAGAAATTTGGAGACAGTCTATGTGGTTTCTCCACTCAAGATCTCTCACTAGGCTGTAATTAGTGTTACCAAGACTAAAATGTCATTTGAAGACTTTTTGGACAAGCCTATATAATTGTTGGCAGGACTCACGTTTTTTGTGGATTGGTGGACTAAGGACCTTATTTACTAGTGGCTGTTGGGCAGAGGTTGTTGTCAGTTACTTGCCACACTGTCCTCCTCTCCAATATAATAGCTTGCTTCATTAAATCCACCAATGGAGACACTGAAGCAAGATGGTTGTCATTATTCTAATCACAGGTGTGATACTTCACTACCTATTGCACTGATTAAAAAAATCAAGTCACCGAGTCAGTGTACATTCAAGGGGAAGAGGATAATACAGGGGCAAAAACACCAGGATAGTGGGATCATTAGAGACTATTATAATTAAGCTCCTAGTATCATTCCTGATATTGTTAATTGTGTCTATGTCCCCCTTTATCAGTCTGGCTAGAGGTTTATCTATTTTATTGACATTCTCAAACAACTAGCTTTTATTATTTTTGTTTTGTGTTTGCTTTCAATGTGTTTTGAATGCTAGACATAAAGGTCAAATGTTATACGATTTTACTTATATGAGGTACTTAGAATAGCCATATTCATACACACTGAAAGTAGAATAGTGGTTACCAGAGACTGCAACAGGAGAAGGGAAGTGATTATCTAGTGGGTTTCTGTTTGAGGTGATGAAAAAGTTCTGGAAATGAATAGGGATGATGGTTGCAAACACGGTGAATATAGAGGACTTAATGTAACTGAATTGTACACTTAAAATAGTAAATTTTTTTTTTAACTTTTTTTTCCCCGGTACCAGGGATGGAACTCACGACTGCCTGCTTGCAAGACAGGCGCTTATGCCGCTGAGCTAAATCCCAGCCCCTAAAATAGTAAATTTTATGTGATGTTTATTTTACCATAAAACAACCATGTCCACAAAAATAAGGAGCCACAGTTTGCCTCTGTCTCATAGAGTGCTGGGCTTAAATGAAATAATTTGAATGAAGTGTTTGACATAGTGCTGGTTCATACAGAAAATTTAAGAAAGAAAGGACAAATGCTTTTCTAATAATTTAGGAGTATTTACAGATGTGTTAGTCTTCTCTAGGGATTGGAAAATGATTTACTTGTTACTGGTGGTGTTGAACAGGAGGCAGAACAGTTTCATGTGCCAAAAAATCATAACAACACTCCTAGGCATAGTATAAAACTGAAGATTCAGATTTAATTAGATCTTGGATGGGGCCTGAGAATATGCATTTCTAACAATTTGCAGTGGCTGCTGCTGCTGCCAATTGGCAACATTTGAGAACCAGGGAGCTGGATGCTTCTTTGGGAGAGATACTTGAGATGTCATGTGATAATTCATGAGGTAGACCTAGATCCTTTGTTTTTCTTTTAAAGTTTGTGATTTCTGTGTCATGGCTTAAATATTTTCTCTTTACAAGATGACACTGTCATTTGAAAATGAGAGGCTTTAAATGATAATGGCCAATGTATCATCATGCTTGCTGTGATGGTCCCTCATCACATGTGGCTATTGAGCGCTTGAAACATATCTGTTCTGAATTGAGATGTGCCATGAGTATAAAATACATGAATATATAGTACAGATGCCTACATTATCTCATTAACAACTTTGTGTTGATTACATGCTGAAATGATAATACTTTGAATACAATGGGTTAAATTTATTATTATTATTTTTTTTGTATCAGGAATTGAACTCAGGACCTTGTGCTTGCCAGGCAGGCACTTATGCTGCTGAGCTATATACCCAGCCCTATTGGGTTAAATTTAAAAATAAAGTTTAAAAAGGACTATGAGTGGAAGGAGATCCTGTAGTATTTAGAGGGTACAAAAGGTTAGAAGATTTTCTTTTTGTTGGTTTTGAATCTCTGGGACAAATATGAAGCTGATAGGAAAGATAAATGGAAAGGGAGCCAGTAGAGTCCAGGAGCAGCAGGGCGCTGGGTGAGGGAGGAAGCCAGGCCTTTGACAAGGTAAAATAAGGTTTATTTTATATTCATACCATTATTTGAAACACAGAAAGACATGAAAATTTTAAGGACAAGAAGATAAATTTAACTTAAAAATGTTAAAGCTGATATCTGGGTAGTAGAGGTAATAAACTGTGCTTTTGTTTTTATCTTTTTGTTTAAATTTTTTTCTTTTATATTTTCCTGCCCTTCTGTAGAGTTTCATAACTTTTAAAATCAGTAGAGTATTACTATGAGCGCAAGAGCAGGAAATTTATTTCCCAATATAGTAAGGCCATGAATTAGAGTAGATGGGCCACTGACTCCAACACATGAAGCCACCCTACAGGAGACTGTGACAGGAACACACACGTCACAACAACTACAGTACTAGCTTGTGTATGTGCATGGTGAGGACTAGAAGGAGGGTCTGAATACCCCCAAGAATGTTTGGATTTCAGGTAATTTGCATTTTCTTGTTTTTACTTTTGTGTATAGTTCGTTTTATAATGACTGCATTTTTCTAGTCAGAAAAAAGACATTCTGAGTTTGAAAATTAGGTATAATCTTCATCACAGAAAGTAAATAGTCTTCTTCTTCTCTGTGTTGATTAAACCTCATCTTAGACTGTCACTCTTGTACCTGGAAGAAGCAAGTGGTCTTGTGGTGAGCTGGAGGGAGTGTGGAGGGGGTCACTTTTCAGGAAACGGGGCAACCTCTGGACCTGAGTGGCCTCTGGCCTATAGCCAGCAAGAAACTGATGGCTTCAGTGTTACAGCCCCAAGGAAATAAATTCTGTAACAATTTGAGCGAGCTTGGAATCAGATTTTTTTCACCAGTCAAGGCTCAAGACAAAAGCAATCTGGTTGATACCTTGATCTGCAGGCTTGTGGGGCCCTAGAGCACAGTGAAGTGATGACTAGACTCCTGACCTACAAAAACTGAGACAGTAGATGTGTGTTGCTTTTGTCAGGCTGTATTTTGGCATGACTTTGCCAGCACCCAATCTGTTTATCAGCAGCAGCACTGTTCTCAGCAAAAACCCACCTCAACACTAGGGCTGTCCTCATCAAACACAGGATATCATAGAAGAGATCAGATAGAGCATGGAATCTTCCAAGCACCAGGCCTTCTGAAGATACCCAAACATTTACACTGGATTCCTCAAAGACTTTGCCCAGTGAGGCACAGAACATTTAGAGAACTTTGATCACTAATGTTTACTAAGGTCTTTCCACCTAATAATGTCCCTTACCTTCTTTGAAACCCTGTAAGGAAGCCCACCTCTCTTTGTTCCATCTGTAGATGACCCTTTTGCCCACAGTCTGCGTGTACCCAGGTATTTAATTGTATACCTTATTGCTTTCACAAAAGCCTGTTGAGTGGTCTCTGCCTTGAGCTATTCTTTACAGTTCTAAGCTGTTGAATCTGTGGCAGTTTTTAACCACAGCAATAGAAATGTAATACATGCTTTTAATAGCAATGCATGAGAATTTGAGATGATTCACTTCCCTCCCAACCTTTTGTACCATTAATCCTTTTCACTCTGGTGGTTCTGGGTGCATATGATTTTAATTTTCTTTATGACTAATAATGAACAATTTTTCATGCTGGCTATTTGAATATGATCTTCTATGAACTGCCTTTCAAATATTTCTCCCATGACAAAATTGTGTCACCTATCTTATTATTATTGAGATTTAGGAGTTCATTATATATTGGACATATGATTTCATGGGGTACATAGATTAAAAATCTCTTTCCTCTGTCTGGAGCTTATCTTTTCACACTTTTAATAATATTTTAATGAAAATTTTAAAATTCTCATTTTTCAAATAAAAAACACATTCTAGGTTTGCATATGGTCCTGGACATTGAACAGAATCCCAGTTCCCACAAGTTGGGAATTTGGTTTTGAAGGAGATTAGAATATGTCACTCCAAAATATGACACATTGATGAAAGTATTATTTTGTGTTAAATGCAATTATCATCTGAAAAGAAAGAATTCCCTACTCTTCTCTTACATATCTAAAAAAAAGCAGGACATAAATTTCCCTTTGAGAAATCCCTCCCCACTCATACCTGGAAGAGGAGGGCAACTCTTACCATGGAAGATGGGGAGTGGACATCAAGATGAATTTACATAAACACTTCATACTAAAATTAGCCTTGCCTTCCATTAGTTCCCCTGTATATTTTCTCTTCACTTCCCCACAATTTTTCATCCCTTGAACCTGAAACCCTCTTTCTTTTTTCATTTTTAAATATTTATTTACTTTCCTCTTCCCTTTTTAAAAAGGGTATCATGGTTTGGATCTTAAATGTCAATTAAAGGGTTATGTGTTGAAGGATTGGTTCAAACATGAGGGCTCTGATCTCATGAACGGATTAACTTATTTATGGATTCAAAACTTAATGGGTTTGGAGAGTTGGATTTTGTTTTAAAAATGAGTGCTCTCTTTGCTTTTGGCCACCATGAAGTTTGCAGCTTTCCTCTACCACATGCTTGTGCTGTGATGTACTACTTCACTACAGGCCTAAAATCAATCTGGCCAAGAGACCATTTACTGAAACCTCTAAAACCAGGAGCCAAAATGTAAGTTTCCTTCATGTAAGTTGTTTTCCTCAACTATTTTGTTACAATGATAGACATGTGACTTACCAAGGAGGGTATATAATTCATTGCTTTGATTTTCCTTTTTCCGTGAACTCCTAAGCATGTAAATATTAATGAAAATTGTCTATTCTCTTGTTAAATTATTTTTATTCAAAATATGATTCAGGGCTACTCTCCTCTTTAGCTATAAGCCCTAAGATAGTAGAAAGTTTTTGCCCTCTGACATCTGGAAGCAGGACAGATAGTGACTGCTGGCAACATCAGAGGCCTCCATGGAGAGATGCAGCAGTGGAAGGGAACAGTGGATGTGAAGGACTGTACTAGCTGGGATTTACCACTTTCTAGGATGTGTTTGACATTATCATTATTGTTGAGTGAGCCACTTTAGCCAAAGTGACATAATTGTTCTAACCAGCTATTCTTTCTGGTATTTCAAGACTGAGATTGCCTAAGGGTAATAGGAAATACTGTGGGCCAGTGCCAAAGAACCAGGGGCTGGACCAACCAGGGAGCAACTTCTCATTCCTAACAAATTGAAGGGGTAGGAACTTGCAACAGACTCAAAAACCCAAAAACCAGCTACACCTGGAAAATATCTCTGAGAAGCAGTCATTTCCTAAAGGCTCCAAATACTAGCAATAAAGCAACTTGCCATACGCAATTACAAGCATCACCCCAAGAATTAAACTAAAAAAGAAAATAAGAACTTAGGATACAACTGCAGACATCCAGTTCACCAAAGGCAAATCCAGGAGACAATGAGGTGGGACAAAAATCACCCACCCAGGGGCTGGGGATTTAGCTCAGTGGCATAAGTGCTTGCCTTGCAAGCAGGCAGTCGTGAGTTCGATCCCCGGTACTGAAATAAAGACCAAAAAAAAAAAAAAAAATCACCCACCTGGCGTCCTCTGAAGTGGTAACAACAAAGAAAATAAATGAGGCTCTAGAAAAAAATCAAATCAGAAATAAGTACAGCGATGTTGTCCACGATGAAAACTTGGTATCTGGTAGCACAGTAACTAAGATTGTGGGAGGTCAGGAAAGTATGCACTATGAAGAGAGGTTGAGGGGTATCAAGCTTGTGGAAGAAAACATTACTGGGATGGATGATATATAAAGACCTATTGAGAGAAAAAAGAAAAGGCAATTAACATTTATTAAGTAAATGCTAAGTTCTTAACTATGCTAGAAGCATTAGAAAATCTTCAGGTAAGGAAACTGATGCTCAGAAAAATTAAGCATATTTTAGAAAGTCACATAGCTAGAAAGTGAAGAAATTTGGCTTCAAATATGTCTTCTGGCAATTCCACCTGTAAGTATACACAGCTCCAAGGCATAACACTATTAATCAGATGCTTATATATGCATACACATATTCATTTAATGACCTACTGTTTATAGATTATTCAGACTTACAAACGAGGCATGCTGTTCAGACTTTTGACCCATTTTTTGGTACAATTCTGTACATCTTGTTTATAGATCCTCAATGTCTTTTTGCACACTTTTTTTTAACCGAGAAACTCATGAACGTGCACTTGCCAGGGAGGCACTGCTGCTGAGCTACATTTCCAGCCACCTTGTTTATAGAGTACTTTTTATATAGTAATTTTTGCTGATTATATTGTACTGTACAGTACTGCAGTTTTATGTTCTGTTTTATGTTGTAGTACTGCATGAGTTATGCAAACAAAAGCAAATTCATCAAGTTCGAGTATTCTTTGATAATCTCTTTGTTTGAATATTGTAATGTACACATGATATACATTTTCTCATTTAACAACCAAGTCATTTAATGACCTAAGCAGTTATGGAGCTGGGTCATTAAATGAATAATATCTGTATTCACAGCAGAACCATTTGTGATAGCCCAAAATTGGAACTAGCCCAAATGTTCATTGATGGGTGAATGGATGAAGAATTTGTGCTACATAAGTGCAATGGGATGACATTTAGCTATAAAAAAGAATGAAAGTACTGATACTTGCTACAGTTTGGATGAACCTCAAAAACATACTAAATGGGGATGGGGATGTAGCTCAGAGGCACAGGTGCCTTCCAGGCAAGCGTGAGGCTGTGAGTTTGAGTCCCAGTTTAAAAAACAAAAAAAATTACTAAGTAAGTGAAGCCAGACACAAAAGTTTGCATATTGTTTCATTCCATTGATATGAGACTTTCAGAATAAGTAAATCCATAGACAGAAAGCACATTGGTGATTGCCAGCAGTACTGGGGAGGGAGGGAAGGGAAGCAGTTTCTTAATGGATATAGGGTTGGAAAATGTTAGGTGATAAAAATGGTGGCAAATGCTGTCAGTGTACTAAATGCCACTAAATTGTCCACTTTAAAATGGTTAACTTTATGTCATCTCACCGTCACCTTAGTTAACTAAAGAAAAAGTTGTTCTTGCTCAAAATATAGTCTTATTTTCATGCAGACCAGTTGTCTTTCTGGAGTCAGTAGAAAATAGAAAGCATACTTTAGTTCAATATAAATTAAAACTTTCTAACAGTTATCTAACAGTACAGTGAGCTGACTTGTGCTATATACTTACACTAGAAGTATTCTACCAAAGTCCAGGCAACTGTCTATGATAAATATTATGGAATTAACTTCCTAGTTTCATTCCAGTGATTAGATTTCTTCATTCTATCCTCTTGAGTAGTTTATATTTTAGAGGGATCAGAGTTCAAGCTTAACATAAGACTGTCAAACACCAGTCTTTGTGGTAGAGATTACAAATGATACAAGGGAACTTATTTTTTCAAAGAATTATTTATTTATTTATTTTTAGTACCAGGGATTGAACTCACAACCTTGCGCTTGCCAAGCAGGAGCTTAGGCCACTGAGTTAAATCCCCGGTGATACAAGGAAATTTATAAGGAAAATGACCAACTTTAAGAGTGTAAGATTTTTTTCTTTACATAATAGATTTGGAAAATGTTGTGAAAATAAACTCTAAGAAAGCAACGAAAATGCAAATGTGTTGAATGTGGCATGTGTTTATAATGTTGCTTCCATGCATGCTATTTTACTCATTTATAATAGAACTTTTAAAATCAGCCATTTGAAAACAAGCTCATTTTAACAAAGTTAATGGGGCTGGGGATTTAGCTCAGCGGCATAAGCGCCTGCCTTGCAAGCGCGTGGCCGTGTGTTCGATCCCCAGTACCGATTAAAAAAAAAAAAAAGAACAAAGTTAACCTAGGTGGTCATGGGGTTAACTGGGGGTGGCAGTGGTTGAGAAGGCAAAAACTGTCCTGTAGAAAACCTAAGAGCGATTTTCCCGTGCAGGGGGCCATCATTCTACAAGGATGTGCAGTAAGCCAAGGCCACAGCTACACATACCATTCACCTTACTGGAGAAAGCATAATCATTTCAAGTAAGAAGCACTTTTAAACTAAGCCCACTTGTTTGGCTGCAAGGGACCACTCTGCTGAGATCTTTTTTTTTTTCTTCATTTAAATAAGCAGGCAGTTGTGAGTTCGATCCCCGGTACCGATAAAAAGGAAAAAGACAAAAAAAAAAAAAAAAGAGAAAAAAAGGCACAGAAAAGAAAAACAAAAAGCAAAAGAGACAAACAAACAACAACAAACCTAATACAATAACAATATAGGTTTTCAAAACAAGATGGTAGGAATTTAACAATGGTTATAATATTGCATACTGTTACCTTTAAAAGAGTTGCTTAGATTACCAGATATAGACATGCAAAATTGATCTAATCATATGAGTATTAATTGTTCTTTTTCAGTAAATAATAGAATTAGTAATATAGTCATCTTAGCTATTTTATGTATGTATATATATATATATATTTTTTTTTCCTTTTCCTTTGCTTCTTTCCTCCTTTTCCCTATCCCAGTTACTTTTCCTTTGAGCAGTTTCTTACACAATATTTATTATAGATTTTGGGTCTTATTTGCTCTTTCAGTTTCTTACACTAGGGAGACAATACGATATTTACACATGTGAATTTATTTCACTTATGAAGTCACATCCACTTACCTATAAAAGTCTTGATGCAATCCTTCTTTATAGCTGAGTAGTACACCACTGTATAAAAATACCACACCGTTTTTATTCATTCCTCATTTGAAGGGTTTTTGGGTTGCTTCCAAAATCTGGCTGTTAAAAATTGTGCTTCTATAAACATGAGTGCACATAATTACTGTGGTATGATGTTTTCAGTTCTTCCGGGAAAATGCTCAGAAGTGGGCTAGCTGGGGCAAATGAAATCTCTAATTTTAGCTTTTTGAGGAACCTCCACACTGTCGGCTAAGATCCAAATGGGAGAAAAATTCACGTTTTGGAATTCATATACATATTTCTTATATTATTTCAATTTTAAGTGAGGAAATTTCTGAAGTTAACAGAGGCCTTCTGGTATTAAAGTTGAGAGCCTGAGTTCAGAAGTCATACCTGAGCTTATTTTACTTTTTATTTGAGACACGGTCTTGCCAAGTAGTCCATGCTGGATTGGAACTCCAGGCTTGGCCTCCTGAGTGCTATGATTCCAGGTGTGTGCCACCACTTCTGGCTCAAACCCGAGTTTGCATCTCAGTGCTGGCACTTATCAAATTATTCTCAACTTTTTATGGTCACATTTTAAAATCTGCCATAAACAGAAAATAATGGTACCTGTCTTACAGAGTAGCTGTGAACATAAAAAACCCTTGGTATTACCTTTGGTATGTGACAAATACTCCATAATGTCAGTTATCATGGTATTGCCTGAAGAAATTTTTTGGGGGGGTACCAGGATAGAACTCTCGACCTCCCACTTGCCAGGTAGGCGCTTAGGCTGCTGAGCTAAATGCCCGGCCTCTGAAAAAAAAAATTTAAAAGTAAAAAAATTGAAAAATGTGAACTAAAATAAGAAAGATCCTTTTGAGAAAAAGAAACTCTAAATTTTGCACATTTAACAAATAAGCGCCAAGTGCCTTACACTGGCTGACTTCCACTTGTAATACAAACAATAAACCAAAAAGCAAATTGAAGACAATCTCAGAAAATGGAAAGACATCCCTTGCTCATGGATAGGAAGAATAAATATTGTGAAAATGGCCATTCTCCCAAAACTCTTATATAGATTCAATGCAATCCCAATAAAAATACCATCAACATACCTCATAGATCTCGAGAAATCAATCCTAAAATTCATCTGGAGTGAGAAGAGACCTAGAATAGCAAAGACAGTTCTAAGCAGCGAAGGCAAGGCAGGAGGCATCACAATCCCTGACTTGAAGTTATACTACAAAGCAACTGTAGTAAAATCAACATGGTACTGGAATAAAAACAGACCTGAAGATCAATGAATAGATTAGAAGATACAACCACAAATACCAACACACTCAACTACCTTATCTTTGATAAAGGAGCCAAACATGTTCACTGGAAGAAGGACAGTCTCTTTAATAAATGGTGTTGGAAAAACTGGCTCTCCATATGCCAAAAACTAAAACTAGACCCATGCCTATCACCATGTAATAAATTACAATCTAAATGGGTCAAAGATCTGAATATTAAAACAGAAATACTAAATCTATTGGAAGACAAATTGGGTAAAAACCTTGAAGATATAGGGGTAGGTAGAGAATTCATGAACAGGACTCAAACGACATGGGAAATACTTCCCAGAATCAATAACTGGGATCATCTCTTATTAAAAAGTTTCTGCACTGTGAAATCTCCAGCATAGTGAAAAGAAAACCCACAAACTGGCAAAAAATCTTAGTGAACTGTCCCTCAGACAAAGGACTTCTGTCTAAAACATAGAATTAAAAACAATCAGACCCCCCCCCCCAAATTCAAAGATCCAACCCAAAAATGGGCATCTGAGATGAATACACACTTTTCAGATGAAGAAATACAAGTGGCAAATAAATACATGAAAACATGTTCATCACCATTACTCATTAGAGAAATGCCAATTAAAGCTACATTGAGATTACATCTCACTCCTGGAAGAATGGCCAGGATCAAGCAAACCACCAACGACAAATGCTGGAGAGGCTGTGGGGAAAAAGGAACTCTCCTGCACTGTTGTTTGTGGGAGTGTAGACTGATGCAACCACTGTGGAGGTCAGTCTGGAGATTTCTCAAAAAGCTGGGATTGGAAGTCCCATTTGTTCCAGCTATTCCACTTCTAGGCATATTCCCAGAAGAACTGAAAGCATCATACCACAGTGATATATGTGCACCCATGTTTATAGCAGCACAATTTGTAATAGCCAGATCTTGGGAACAACCTAAGTGTCCATCAATTGAGGAATGGATAAAAAAAGTTGTGGTATTTTTATACAATGGAGCACTACTCACTTATAAAGAAGGATCACATTGAGATATTTATAAATAAATGGGCGCAGCTTGAGACCCATACTCGTAAGTGAAATAAATGAATGCATGTATGAATACTGAATAGTTTCCCTAGTATAAGAAATGATACAAATACATAAAAGTATGTGGTAATCATGATTCCCCATTATATGGTTTTGAAGCCTTATAAAGTTTTCACTCATTAATTGGAATGGTTTTATTCTGGGCTGTTTGATATTATTGTCTGTGATAATATGCACAGCTATTTTGAAGAAAACAAGACATAATAATAGCTAGTGCTGATTTAATATCATCTTGTTTTGAAGTCCCATCAAATTGTTGTTCTTCTGTCCCCATTGCTTTTATCATGTTGTATCTTATTGGATATTATTATATGTGATAGTATAAAAAATTTTTTATAGGCAAAGAGATAATATAGAAACCATTATTCATTTTCTGTTAGCTGGTTCTAAATACCTTGTAATACTTTCATTCTCTTGAATGGTTTCATACTGTCTTGATATGTTTGATGCTATAGTATACGAAGTTATACTCAAATATTTCAAGGAAAGAGACACTATGGTACCTACTATTAAGTTGGGTTATCTTGTGGTGAAACACTATGTTGCTTAAATTGTTCTGTTCTGATCTGTATTGCTACGTTATTATGACCTCTTTTATGTCAATCTCCCCCCCTTTTTAAAAATTTATTATTATTTTTTAATTAAGAGAAAAATTTAAAAAAATTAGCAGGATATATTATAGTAACTTTTCTGATTTCCTATTAACTTGATTTGAAGCCCCGTATTGCTCTCACATCTTCTTTTGACCTATTTTACTCTATACTGTTCTGTTTGATATTATCCTTTTTTTTTTTTTTTTTGTCTTTTTTTCCTTTTTATCAGTACCGGGGATCGCTGTTTGATATTATCAATTTTGAGGGTATAGGCCACTACTTTGAACACAATAAGATTCACTATGATGCCCATTCTGGTTTGACTATTATCTTCTTTTAAATTTCAGTAATGTTTCCAGTGTTTAGGTTTTATTGGTTTTGTTCTGTACTGCTTCGTTCAACTTTATTATACCTGATGATATAGGCAATTCTTTTTAAGGTAGCAAGGGGCATTACGGTAACCATTGTTGATTATCTTGTATTGTTTTTACATCATGTACTATGTCCATCCTTTGTTTTGACTGACTCTGCTTTGTTTTGTCACATTTGGTTTTATTCTCTTCCAAAAAAAAGTAATAAGAACTGTGGGAGTAATAAAACCCAAAATGTGTAAATGTTATTGCAAAAAAGAGCAGAAAAGAAAGTGCTCTAAAGGACACAACTGCAAGTGTGTTTAGGTGTGTAAGATAGATGATCATATTACTAAGTTTTTGTTGGATCATTGAGTACAGCTGTTTGCAGTCTCACTGTTTGGTGGGATTTTTTTTCTTTTATTGGTACCTGGGATCCAATTTATGACAGCCAGCCTGCTTGCAAGGCAGGTGCTTACGTGGCTGAGCTAAATCCCCAGCCCCAAGTCTCACTGTTTGAATGTCCACTTTGTGTGCTTAATTTTGTAACTTGATCAACTATTTCCAAGATGACAATATGTAATCTATTAACTAGTGATTTCTCAGTTTGTTTTTTTGAAATTCTGAATTACTTGTACACTTTTACTGTTTTGTTTTTTTTCTTTAAATGAAAAACAATAAACCTATTATTACTATCACCTGAGAGCAGCCTTCATGTGAGGATTAGAATTCGGTTGTAGTAGTCAGTATGGAGGTACACACCTGTAACTCCAACACTAGGGAGGCAGAAGCAGGATTGCCATGAGTCCATCTTGGACTACATAGGGAGCTCAAGGCCAATGTCAACTACTCATTAAGATATTGTCTCAAAAATACTAAATTCAGATGTGGCTTATTGGCTAATGGTCTTGTCCTGGCTTTGCGTTTATCAATTCTAGCGGCCCTGGCCACTAAAACCAGGCACTGGGTTCTCATTTTGTCCTAGATTGTGAGGTGTGGATTAAACCCGGTTAGGAAATCTCTTCTTTAGATTCTTTAACTTTCTATGGTCCCAATTTCTGTTTCCAATGTGCTCTGAAGTTTCTGCCTAAACCAACAGCTAGGAGTACAGGACCTGTAAGTTTTCAGTGACTAATCTCTAACTTTGAATAGGCGCCCAGCTTTACTTTCCTATCCTGATTTTCTTTCTGAGCCAAGTGCCTCGCAAAACTAGGTTCAGCCTTTATTCCTCATTTTCTCACTTTCGTTTCAAACATTTTGTGCCGTCTTCCTTTATCTTATCTCTTTTTTTACTCCTGTAACGTGACCCCCGCCCACCCTCCGTGACCCCCGCCCACCCTCAGCGACCTTTGTCCCTGCTAGCCGCCCTTCCCCCCCCCACCCTGCTGCTGGTGCCCCCATTTGCTCCGCCCCTCACGCCGCTCCGCCCGCCCTCACGCCACGCCCCCCTGCGCCCCCTCCCCTAACCCCTCCTTTCGCGCTCCTCACTTTGCTGTCCCTTCAAGCTTGCGCTCCACCAGTCTTGTACGTGCCAGGTGGGTGTGTAACGTGGTAACAAAGCGACACCTTTGCCCTAGCTGGTGAGCACAGAAACTGCAGATGCTGTCAAATTCTCACGCTTTAGTTCCCTTCCCGTATACCTTCCGAAAGTCGGGTTGCCCCTCAGAACTCTGGAACTTATCCTTCCAGGCCCCCGTAGCTTTCCAGAAGCTCACCTTTTGACCTGTGAAGCCGCTTCTTATTTCGCGCCTTCTTTTTAGTTCTCGAAGGGGGCGGAGCCACCGTTGCCCAGGCGACACCTTGGTTACTTCCGCTGGTATCAATGCTTCCGGGTTGGCGGTGCTGTGGCGTTTCCGGCTGTGGGAGCCTCGGCTTTCCAGTCATCTGAGGAGCCCGAACAGGTGAGGGGGAGCTCCTGGACTTCCAGGCTGGGGAGCGGGGGCTGGGCCGCGCCAGGCCGCGCAGGGCCATTCTGGCCTGGTTCCCGGGCTGGGAGGGGCTTAACGGTCCTTTGGTCTCTCTCTCCCCTCAGCCGAGTCCCTTCCCTGTCTTTCACTCTTCTGGCAACGGTGGTTTTACTTCTTCGATTGAGCCCTGCTTCCTCGACCCCCCGGGAGGCTGCCTCCTTCAGGCACCTCTCTTCTCTCCAAGGACTCGCTGTGACAGCTGAGGAACTGGCAAGATCCTGCTACCCAGAGGGTGAATGGGTATCTTTCCTGGAATAATCCTTATTTTTCTAAGGGTGAAGTTTGCGACGGCGGCCGTGATTGTAAGCGGAGTAAGCAAAAACCTCCATTGTATTAGTGTGAGGGATGCTGTTGAAAGATGCTCCCCTTCAGTTTCTCCCCTGCCACTCTTGATGTGAAGGCATTGAAGGCATCTATTAAAATGCAGTTCAGTTACTTGATTGGGATGACAGCTATTATCAACATGAAATAGTTTTCAGTCAGGCTAGAGATGCTTAGAGACGTCATGAACACTAATCTCATCTTCATTCCCTACTGCATTACTTAATGGTGTATTTACCTTTTTGTCTACATTTCAGAAATGTACCCCTGGGCTAGGAGTTTAGCTCAGTGGCATAAGAGCTTGCCTGGCAAGCACGAGGTCGTGAGTTTGATAACCAGTACCCCCCCCCAAATATATATATATATATGGAAAGAAAGAAAGAAGAATGCACCCCTAATCTCTCTACCAACAAGAATCCTTACCTGATTTACTTCACACCATCCTAAGCCAGACTCCCTGCCTCAACTGTTTGTCATCCATTGTATTTGCTCCTTCCATAGTAGCCTAATTTAATACGATGGATTTCCTCCAGTCATTTATCTGTAAAAATTTTATAACACCCCTATGCACCTTGGTTCCAAGTCTTTCAGTATAATCTACTTCTTATGCTGATGTTAGCCAACAAGTGAATTCTCTATTCAAGTTGGTTTTATTTGCTTCTTAGCAGAAACCATATTGATGCTTACCTCTACATTGTGTTTATTTTAACCACACTTGAGTGTCTGTTCATCCTGTCACCTCCCTTACTTGCACCTATTTGGAGTCAGCCTCCCCTCTGTTGTCTCCATAAGCTTTTTTGAATTCTTCAAGATTCTAATGATTGTTTCCCTTCCCATGCTCTCATTGTTCTTATAGGTTATAATACATAGTTTAGAATTTAACTTTTCTCTAATGAGGTACAGTACTTTGCTTTCTCCCACCGGATTATAAGCTCTTAAAAGGCAAGTATCATATTTCATACAACTTTCACCTCTGCTCCATCTCCTTAAATTATCCAGGAAAGCTAATGAGTGGTAAATATTGTTTTGGTGTTAGAATATATTTCTATGTTTTTAAAAATATCATGATTATTGCAGGTGTGAACATTTAGTATGCCTTCAATAAGTATTTGTTGGCTCTTCATTGTTACTTACTGAATGTGAGACTCTAATCCTTCCCCTTAAAGGACAGAGAAGAAAGGCACTCATAGTTTCCTGACTAGATCTTTGGAGTAGTGTAGGGCTATTTAAATTACATCATGGCACATTTTTTACTGTTGGATTATCAAATGTTCTTTAGACCTTCAGAATACATGTCTGCATTTTAAAGATAATTTTTATTGGATTCTTTTACAATAAAAATAGGGTATCAGATTTCTATTTTAACTTACATGACTTTTCTTTTTATCCATATCTGGGGTTTGCCTCTTCCTCCCTCAAATCCATCATTTTAAGAGGGGTTGGGGTATTTTACACCAGTAATTCTCTGTAACCAAAGCAAGAGAAGAGAATTCATAGGCAGAGCCTATCTGGGGAACATGACAGTGTTGTGTACATGGTGTTTAGCATTGACCAGATCCAGAAATTTACTTTTCTGGTTTCTCCCGAATCTTTTTATATAGAAGTTGAATATATAGGTAAAGGAGATCACCCTGGAAAACCAACTATTTAATGGATGTGCACTCAATTCTGTGTAAGCTATTCTTAGGGTTATAAAAATATTGTGAGATATGTCTGCCATCAGGGATCTTACTTGGTTAAGAGGGAAAATAAAAATAACATGGTGCAACTAGAACATAAACCTCATCTAAATGTGTATTTTTATGCCTGAATTTAAAAATAAGTGAAAGTTCAAAAAATATTGCCTGGCTATAAAATGAATTTGGCATAATGCGCATGTGTCCATGTATACAGCCTTACTAAAAAGACTCAGCAGCTTAATTTAATGATTCAGTAGAGTGTTACAGCCCCCTGAAAAACAACTGCTGTTTTCAGAAAACAGCCAGGGAAATTTAGCCTGATAAGAATAAGATTTAGGGGGCTGGAGATTTAGCTCAGCAGCATAAGCCTTGCAAGCAGGCAGTCATGAGTTCGATCCTTGGTACCGATAAAAAGGAAAAAGATAAAAAAAAAAAAGGATAAGAGTTAGGAGAACATGGTAACTTTCTTTAAATACTTGAAGGACTCTCTCACTAGAGAAAAACAATGCATTTGTTTAATATTTGCCTCCAAAGACTGGGTGAAAATAAAAGAAGACAGACATTTGAGCTAGTGTGAGAAAACATTGTTAAAAGTGAAATTCGGTCAAAAATTACACAAGGTTTGTTCACAATGTAGTATTCTTTTCTAAATAGTAAAACAAGTTTAGCTATCAGATACCAGTAGGGGCAGTACTTGATTTAGCCAGTGGTTCCCAGACTTGGATTTTAGGGGTCAGAAATACAGTCAAGCTAATTTTGCCAAGTAATGACACTAAACAAAATCAGATTCCAACTATTATAATTTCATACAAGAAATGTTTTTTTAATGCTCGAGGTATAAGCATAAGAAGTATAAGAAGAGGTATAAGAAGGTATAAGAAGTATATGGTATAAGAGGTATAAGAAGAATATGAGCTAATAATAGGTAGTACTTTAAGTACATTTAATTGAAAAAGGCCCAGATACCTATATTTTTTTCATATCAGCTCAGAATTGTAAATTTCATTAAGGAACCTTTGGTCTAACTGATCTTTCTGCTCCCTGCGATAACTCTGAACCCTCCCTTTCACTGATTCATTATTGCTCCCTGAACTTTGAGCACATTTTCCTTGTTAAAAGGCTAGATAGCATATAATAAAGTCTGATAGAGGCTTTCTCTGAAATTTAAGAGTTGAAAGAAGCAAAAATAAAATTCTGGGGAGATGCATAGGAATTGTCTGCAACATTTAAGAGTATTTCAAGAAAACTTTAAATTTGTTAATAGAGAGTGATTTTTTTCCCCCATAAACTCAGGGAATCTGCCATGGTCCTACTTTTCTGTCTCTATTCTCACACTGCATGTGTCACATTTTATTATTAATTCTAATCTTAAAATGTAGGCATAGCTAAAAATGTTGATGAGGTAGTGTTTAGACTTTCAAACTTACGTTAAGCTGCAGCTGATATTTATATTATCCACTTCTTTTTGCTTTTTGGAATTTCTCTTAATTTTATTTCAAAAGAGCTGTTTTCTACATTCTGTATGTCGTATTCTTGAAAGAACATCTTCACAATTATTTTTCTGGTCTGTAACTAAAACATCCACCTGCATGTTTGATATTTTGTCTAGAAAATTATTCTTTGCTTAGTTACAGATAATTTCTTATGTAGAAACAAAGCAAAACTTTGTCTCTAAGAAGAGATTGTGATTCAGATTTGCTAACCTCAGATTGGCAGTGGGGAGATGGGCAGCAAGTACTGTCTATTAAAATGTAAATTTGGATATTTAAATTTTGAGAAATGATAAAGTGATGGAGCTAAGTGTCACACATATTTCTAGGTGTTTTACATGTATTATTTAATTTTACAACAACCATATGATGCAGTTTTTTTTCTTCTCATAGTCATATAAACATTGAGATGTTAACTTGCCTAAAGTCACAGAACTAGCAAGTGATGGAGGAGGATTTGAATTTAGGTAATCTAACTTTAGAGTCCTCCTTCCTGACCATAAACCACTTGTAGTTGCTCCTGAAATTCAGAAGTGATACTCTGTTTTTTTTTTTTCTTTTTATTGATACCAGGGATCAAACTCACGACCGCCTGCTTGTAAGGCAGGCGCTTATGCCGCTGAGCTAAATCCCCAGCCCCAGAAGTGATACTCTGAATAAAGGATGTTGAAAGGAAATCTGAGAGCCCATTTTTAGAAAAGTTAGTGCTTTCTTCTGGACAAGGATTTAACAGGTGATGCCTAAGGCTTTAGTTCTTAAGTGTGCAAATATTAGCCTTATTTAGAAACTTACAACTTCTCAGGGTGAAGAACACCACCAATCGGAAACTCTGAGAAGAGAGGCTAGCAGTCCATGTTTTTCTTTTGTCTTTTTGATACAGGGTTACACTGTGTGGTTCAGGCTAAACTTAGGCTTACTTTATAGGCACACACTGGTCTTAAACTTGTAAAGATCTGCCTGCCTCAGCCTCCCTGAGTGCTGGGATTATAGGAGTGCGCCACCATGCCCGGCTAGCAGTCCATGTACATTCTAGATGATTGTGGTGCAGTTTGCTAAAAATCTGCTAAAATTGGAAAACCATTGGTCTAGAGGCCAGAGCTATACACAAATCATATCCAAGAGAGAAGGGCTGGGGGTAACAGAAACAGAGAAGAAAACTAAAATGATTGAAGATGATGGTCTAATAGGAGTGGCACATGAAAGGGGAAAAGGAAGCTGGAAACAGAAAAATTATAAAATAACTATTTGTATGTGCTTTAAAAAGGCCAGGGGGAAGAAAAAGGAGATCAATTAGATGGATGCATGTTAAATATTAGAGATATCATTCACATTGCTGTCATTTGTCTGGGGACCAGAAGGAGTACATGAAATACTTCGCTCAGCCTGGGCCTAGGCAGAGCGCATAGTTGTATGTAGCTAGATATAAATCTTAGATGAACTCCAACCCTAAAGTTTAGTGGAGAGATGAGAGGGCTGAAAACACAAGTAGGTAGTGGAGTGAATCTATGCTTAGTGTCCGAATCAAGGTAACTGAATGCCGTGAACTGCTTTTATGAGATGCCTCAGCCTATATAATTTGAATTCTGGGTTGCTTCCCTTGTAATTGTTTAGTTGTATTCTAAGTTAAGTGTGCTGGACCAAGTGAAGTCTCTTCTGTAGGTGGAGATGAGTAAAAACACATTGAAGAAACTAGAGAGAATGAAGGACACAGGTTGATCTTTGAATGAATCACACACATTCCCCTACAGAATGGTAGTAAAGAACAGATTCATGATCACCCAGCACATTAAAATACGATCTCAAAAAAATAAATAAAATAGGATCTTACTTAGTGTCATACCACTTGTGGAATTTTTCCTGCATGTTTTGTTTGTCAGATTTATTGATCTAAATAATTCGCTCAGATGCTAACAAATGGTCCTCACTTGTATGCTTTATTCTGATTTGTGTTTATTTTTAGTACCAGAAAAGTGCCACTGTAAGCCATGAGATGTCTGGTCTGAATTGGAAACCCTTTGTATATGGCGGCCTTGCCTCTATTGTTGCTGAGTTTGGTAAGAATGTGAAAAAAATGACAAGTCCATATTTTATTATATAGATGGCATATGATGCAGTTAATTTTTATGAAAATAGAGACAATGATAAGCTTTCTTTATTTTAAAAATTATTGTCTCAAAGATAAATAATATTTTGGAGAAAGTACTATGAATGGTACAGCAAATGAAGTTAAGGAAACCATTGGTCCAACTTTGAAAACTTTTTTGCTAGTTTAGTAATTTGTTAATTTGCTAGAATTAAGTAAAAATACAGAAGCAGTCAGACCTGTTGGGATTCTCCTGTGTTTCATTGTACTAATGGACTTTCTTTTATGCTGTTAGTTTATAACTCTCTTAGCATCCAAGCTTCTTTTTTAAAGTTCTGTCTTATTTTAGAATAAAACTAGCAAGATTGAATAAGATTCTTCTTTGTTTGATTTTAATTTTGAAATATTTTTAGAATGTAATGTTTTCATCTTCCGGGTTTCCTCTTTCCTAAACTAGTTATAAATGATCACAGTCTACCAAACTGTTTACTTTCTTGGCTATTCTCTGGTATTCTATCTAGGTTAGTTTTAGACCTTAATATATTTCTTGGAATGTACTTTGTCAGTGAAATAACTACTTCTGTGTACTGAAATAAGAAAAAGTCATTTGGTTAACGAAATTTTACCCTCTAAGCATTTTGTTACTATTAGAACTGAATTATCTAAGGAATAAAAAGTAATGGAACCAAACAGAGTATTGTCATTATCTTTTGTTTATTTTTTATAATCAAGTTTTTTTTAAAAAAAACCACAAATGTTTTAGTAGTAGATAAGAGCACCTGGAGCAGCAAACCTATGATTTCCTGTGTTTGTGAAAATTTGAGGACCTTTTAAGATGAGAAGTGGGAAGAGTTGAGCAAGAGACTGATAAAATGCCATATTGAATGTTATAGATGAAAATAAAACATTTAAGTTACTTTGCATTTATATTGTATTAGAATCATCTTAAAGCACTTTGTATATCACATTGGCAGGCATAGGATGGGCCAAATTGTGCTGCCTAGGTACAGTATATTACATTTTACTTTACAACATATAATTCTTGTCCTCTGGCAGTGGTATTCTAGTAGATATCGTCAATCATGAGTTGAAAATACTTAGAAGTGAGTGTGTTCCTTTATAGGAACTTTCCCCGTAGACCTCACCAAAACACGACTTCAAGTACAAGGCCAAAGCATTGATGTTCGCTTTAAAGAGATAAAATATAGAGGAATGTTCCATGCCTTGTTCCGAATCTATAAAGAAGAAGGTGTGTTGGCTCTATATTCAGGGTAAGAATGGATTTTTTTCTTATAAACAGAAAAGCTTCTTAGAGTGTGTATTTCAATTGTATAATAGTTTGTACCTTTATAGCCACCATTTCAACATGTAATTCTGTGTTAAAGGGGTGTCAGTTTTATTTTGCTTGATTACAAGCTTTAAATTTTGTGTTTAGATGGCTGTAAATGATGTGTTGAAATGGATGTATCATTGCAGCTAAGGCTTTCTATTGGTTTATCTTCTTCCACTTTCCTAGGCCATCCTAAATCTAAGCTACGAGTTTATTGCTCAGAGAATGGAAATCGTTTTATCATTAATCTGTGTTAGGTTTATTTAAAAGATAATTTTCTTGAAGAAAAATATCAAGTCATCATCCTGAAGCAAGTGATTCACAGATCATCTGTTTTACCTTGTTCTTCATTAGTATGGATAATCACAAGAGATTTTTTTTCCGTTATCAAGCAATAAAGTAGGAAACACACATATTTAGCCATCATTTATCAATCATATCCATTTAAGCTGCTTTCTATTTATACCTCCTGTATAGTTAGTTCCTTTGCAGGAATCTCAAAGGAGGTATGCATGAAAATGTTTCCAGTTTATGACCTGACTTAAATAGGTTGAGATCGGGGCTGGGGATTTAGCTCAGCAGCATAAGCGCCTGCCTTGCAAGTGTGTAGTCGTAAGTTCATTCCCCGTACCAAAAAAAAAAAAAGAAGAAAGTTTAATAGGTTGAGATCTTGGCTCTAGTACTTCCTTATTGATAATAGTAAAAATATATCTATAGCTGTTAGGCATAGAGGTTAATTGTTTAAAAAAATCTTTGCTGTGGGTTATACCATGTAATTCTTTTTGTATGTTGCTGGATTCAGTTTGTTAATATTTAATATTTTCTTAAAGATGTTTGCATCTAAATTTTTTTCCCTTTTTTGTGGTACTGGAGATTGAGCCCAGAGCCTTTGCAATGAGCTACATCTTTAGTCGTTTTTAAATTTTTAATTTCAAGCAAGGCCCCTGCCAGGCTGGGCTTGAACTTGCGATCCTCTTACTACAGCCTCCCAGAGTGCTGGGACTATAAGTGCTTGCCACCATGACTGAACTCCTGTAGCTTTCCCTTTTTCTACTATTTTTGTCTGGTTTTGGTATTAAGGTAATAACTTAAAGTCATGAGAAACTGAAAGTCATGAGAAACATTCCTACTTTTGTTTTCTGGAAAAGGTTGCATAAGATTGGTATTAATTGTTTAAATGTTTGGTAGGATTCCTCAGTAAAGTCTGGGCCTAAAGATTTTTCTTAAGGAACTTTTAAATTGTGAATATGAATTCTTACTTAAATGTTTCACTTTGACTACTATAACAAAGTGCCATACACTGGGTTGGGTTTTGAGAAGTTCCTTTTTTAGAGTTGCATACTGTTGGGGCTGGGAATTTAACTCAGCAGCTCAAGTGTCTGCCTGGCAAGTGTGAGGTCATGAGTTCGATCCCAAGTATAAAAAAAATAAAAAAGAATCTATATTGGGGCCAGGGATTTAGCTTAGTGGCGTATGTGCCTGTCTGGCAAGCACAAGGTCATGAGTTCGATCCCTGGTACTAAAAAAAAAGAGTTGCATACTGTTAACTTCTTATTTCTGTAGACACTGATCCCTTTGGTTCACTCTGGCAACTGAATTACATCTTAGAGTCCCTCACTTCAGTGTTAGGATTTCAACATGTGACTTTTGTGGGTTGAAGATATAAAAACCTTTTTTTTTCTTTTTCCTTTTTATTGGTACCAGGGATTGAACTCACAACCGCCTGCTTGCAAGGCAGGTGCTTATGCCGCTGAGCTAAATCCCTAGCCCCAAAGATATAAACATTTAATCCATTGCAATAGTTATGAGATTTACTGAGACTATTTACTCAGATTATCTATTTTATCTGGTAGTTGTGATTTTTCAAGCTCATTGGTAGGGCGCTTATCTATATGTGCAAGTCCCTGGGTTCAATTCTTAGTAGTACTAAAAAACAAAACAAAGCAAAAAAAAGAAGCATTTCATCAGGGTCTGGTGGCACACACCTGCAATCCTAGCACTCAGGAAGCTGAGGCAAGAGGATCACTGCAAGTTGGAGGCCAACCTTGGCCATATAGCAAAATCCTGCCAACCAACCAATAAACCAACCGAGCTAGAAAAAAAGCATTACTTCTAAGTTGGATTTATGAACATCATTTATTTATGCTATTCCCTTATACTTTTAATTACTGCAGGATTTGTAGCCCTCTTCCATTTCATTTCAGACATTGGAGATTTTTATCTTTTATCTTTTTCATCATTGTGAGTCTTGCTAGGGGTTCATTAATTTTATTCAGTTTTTTTGGAGAGCCAATTTTAGTTTCTTAAGTTTTTATTTTTGATTTATTGATTTATGCCATTTTTTATTTTCTTCCTTCTGTAAGCTTCAGGCTTATTTTCCTCTTCCTTGTCTAGTTTCTTGAGATAGCAACATGGATTATTGATTTGCGTTTCCTTTGTTTCTACTTTTTTTTTTGTTACTGGGGATTGAACTCTTGACCTTATGCTTGCCAGGTAAGTGCTTGTGCCATTGAGCTAAATCCCCAGCCCACTTTTGTTTCTAATGTAAGCATTTTTTTTCAGTAAATTTCCCTCAGCACTTCTTTGGCTGCATCCTATATATTTTAATAGACTGAATTTAAATTTTCATTTAGACCTATGTGTTTTTAAACTTCTTTTGAGACCTTTTTCTGACCAATGGATTTTTCAGAAGTGGTGTGTTCAATTTTCAAATATTTTCTCACTTTGCCTTATTTCTAGTTTGATTCCATTATGGTTAGAGAATATATTCCGAATTCAATTCATATAAATTTGTTGAGATATGTTTTATGACCCAGGGTATGTGCTATTTTGGTCAATGTTATATGGACACTTTAAAAATGCATATTTTAGGGCTGGGGATTTAGCTCAGCAGCATAAGTGCCTGCCTTGCAAGCAGGTGGTCGTGAGTTTAATCCCCTGTACTGATAAAAAAAATGCATATTTTGCTGTTGATGGGTGGAATGAGATGAGTAACAGAAGTGAGTAGCTGCATAGATACGTATAATCTGCCAATGTACCTTAGTAAAAATGTTTTCTTTTTCTTTTGTTTTCTCTTTCTTTCTTTCTTTCTTTTTTTTTTTTTTTTTTTTTGGGCAGTATTGCTCCTGCTTTGCTAAGACAGGCATCGTATGGCACCATTAAAATTGGAATTTACCAAAGCTTGAAACGATTATTTGTAGAACGTTTAGAAGGTCAGTATACTCCTCTTTTAAGGTGATCCTCAAAAGGATTATTGGAATTGTGCCTGAAGAAATGATGCCTGGAGAATGGAGAATAGTCACTGTAAGGACAAAGTAAGCTTGTACTTACTTGGGACTAATCCTTGCAGAGATGATACATGGATTACTGTGATCTGCTCTTCCAATTTGTCCTTTTCCTATTAATAAGGTTTCTGCCTGATGTGGTGGTGCATGCCTGTAATCCCAGAACTCTAGTGAAGCAGGAGGATTGGAAATTCAACCCCAGTCAGGGAAACTTGGTGACTTAATGAGACTCTGTCTCAAAATTAAAAAAAAAAATGGCTGGGGATATAGCTCAGTCCAAAAGCTCTGAGTTCAATCTGCAGTACCATTAAAAATAAAACAAAACAAAAGAAGAATTCTGATCATCCCAGAGGGAACATACAATAATCATGTCCAGAAAAATTAATGCTGCCCTCACCAGTAAGGCATTTTAAATGATAGAGCATATTCTAGCTACCAATTTTGTGTTTGTTTGGTAGATTAATTTTAGGCGATTACATTCTAGATTCTAAGGTACCTATGGTTACCTCACCCACATTCAGTGTTACCATATATCTCTGTATTTGCTGCTGTAGCATGTCCAGCTTGATATGTACTAAATGATTATTTTACCACAAGGCCTGGGGCTATAGATGGTTGGGAACAGATGGAGAATCTTTTGGTTAGTAATGTCTATGAATGACATTATTGTCCTGAATCAGCTTTTCTGCAGCCTCTTTGAAGATCCTGAAGGTTTCCCTTCCACCTCTTCCTAAAAGAATTTCCTTCCATAAATTCTTAACTTGAGTTTACTTAGCTTCTATTTGTAGGTTCTTCACAGTGAGGAGGAGTGTAGAAGATTGAATTTTTCTTGTAGAACAATATGCTCTTTTAGTTTCTGTGTTGTTTCTTTTAGCTGGTGGCATTGGTTCTAAATTATTGCTTTCTGGAATGAGGTTGAATAGCCCAAGGTCTCTATGCTTGCCTAAAATGCTGAGGCCCTGGGTTTAGTCCCTGGCATTGTGTAAATAAACAAGTCATTGATTTTTCACATTTGACTACAGAAGCCTTGTGTACATAAACACAGGCTAGATAAACTCTAGTGCCAGTCAAAATTAATACTTGGATATTAAGATTTTCTATTAGACATAAGATTTTATCTTAACATTCATTGCTGATTTTTTAGAGTATATGACTATCTATGAAAAGACTTTAAAATTATATACTTTCAGTATTTAAAGCGGTTGAAGAGGAAATATTACATTCTGAATTCATGTGGAATACTTATAGTTGTGTAGAATAGGATATGTTCCTGTGTCTTTTGCAGTTACTTTTTTAGAAATAATAATTTATATTTTATAATTTTTTGTATATTTAGTACAGATTTGTGATCTAGAATTGTTTGAATTTCTTTACTTTTTTACTTTGAGTAGCTTTTGTAGTTTATCCCTGAAGTCCTATTTCTGACCATGATTTTCTCTTCTTCTCATATTTCAGTACTCTGTTCTCAAAAATTAGTGCCTAATAAAAAAACAGAACTTTTCTATCCTTTTTGCAGATGAAACTCTTCTAATTAATATGATCTGTGGGGTAGTGTCAGGAGTGATATCTTCCACTATAGCCAACCCCACTGATGTTCTAAAGGTAAGAGAGATGTCTGCAGTGTGATTTGAGGAAAGCCCACGTTTTAAGTTAGATTTGGGTTTAGATTTCCACTCTGTCCATTGTCAGCTATAAAATCTTGTGTAAATTACTCAATTGCATTAAGTCTTATTTAATTTCTTCATTTGTAAAATGAAGATAATGAAGTTTTTAAAGCATAGTGTTGTTAAGAATCAGAGATACTATGTAAACTGGCTAACATGGTACTTGATAGTAAGTGGTGAATAAATATAGGTAGTAATCAATTTATTATGATACGCGTTAAATTCATTGGTCTTCAAAATGGGGTGTGGGAATATCTATAGGTTATTTTTTAAGGGCTGTGCAGGTTTTTATTTTGGTACTAGGGACTGAACTCAGGACCTTGTGCTTGCCAGACAGGTACTGTGCTGCTGAGCTATAGCTGAGTTATATCCCTGGCCCAGGCTGTGCAATTTTAAAGACATTAGTTTCTTTCTTTCTTTTTGTGCTGGGAAGCAAACTCAAGACCTTCGCTTATGCTACTGAGCTATATCCCTGGCCTGTCATCAGTTTCTAGATCCCTTACTTCCATATGTATTTGTTCCTAAAACAAATGAATCTGCATTTCTAATAAATTTTCCATTTTACTAAAGAAAAGCACAACTCTTACTCATTCCAAATCTTTATATACAGTAATACCCTGGCCTGAAGCGTAAACTGGAGTATCAAACAAGGAATAAATTGAAATACAGTTTTGGGGAGTAGCCTGCATTAATAACTGAGTTACGTTAAGTCTATATTGCCTCTCTCCTTGTCTTATCCATGTTTGTTTGAAAAGTTAGATTTGGCTTATTTTGGGCCTGGGAATTTAGCTCAGTAGCATAATTGCCTCTCTAGCAAGTGTGAAGTCATGAGTTCGATCCTCAGCACCAATAATAATAATAAATAAAATAAAAAACTTTAAAAATGATATATTTTGGCTTGTGTTGGGTAGGATATTCTGAATTAGGATATTCTGAATTTTAATTTTAAAGAAAAAGAAACCACAGGAAATACAAAAATGCAAACAAAAAAAAAACAAACAACAAAATATAAAACCCCCAAAAATAGCGATATAGGATTTCAAGACAAAACGATAGGAATTTAACAGTGGTTGTTATATTGCATATTGTTATCTTCAAAAGAGTTGCTTGGGGGCTGGAGGTTTAGCACAGCAGCATAAGTACCTGCTTGGCAAACGCAAAGTCATGAGTTCGATCCCCAGCACCACAAAAAAATAGAGTTGCTCAGATTAGCAGATATTGGCATGAAAAATTGATCAAACAATATGAGCACTAACTGTTCCTTTCCTTGAACTAATAGAATTAGTAGTAAAATTATCTGAGCTACCTTATGTGTGTGTGTGTGTGTTTCTGTGTGTATATATATATATATTTTTCCTTTTCCTTTCCTTCTTTTCCCCTTTTTCCTATCCTATCCCTATCCTGGTGGTCTTCATTTATAGAAATATAAATGCATTTCTTCATTTTTGAAGAAAGTTTTGGCAAGTCGTAGAATGAAACACTATCAACGTTCATCTTACTTTATCTCATAAAATGATATTATTTACTAATGTTTAAGAACTAAATATATGACTAAAATATGTTTGAAGAGAGGTTCCTAAGGTTTGAAAAATTGTTTCGGGGGCAGTATAGAAGAAAAAAGAAAAAGGACTCATGCTTTATTTTATAGCTGATGTAACTAACAGGTGGCTCGGTTAGTGAAGAAGATACCTACAATTCAGAGTTTTGAGAACAGTTAAAAAACAGCACACATGAGATAAACCACTGATGGTTCATGGAGAAAAGATGTGAGAAACAATATTTCTGAATTAAAGTGAGAGCAGTTTAAGTACAGAGCTTTTATATCTACTTTAAATTTACAAAGAATCTATTGATGAAGATAATGGACTGTATCCTAAAACTCTAGAATATTTTGAAGTAATGTGTTTGTTAAAATGTGCTTTTGAAGAAAAAGGATATTTAACTCTCTGAAACTTCTTTGTTATTCAATTGGATCCTAGATTTAATCAACTAAATGACTCACTTCAATTTCTTGTCCCTCTGACCTTTCTGACAAAATTAGAAGCATTGACCAATGCTTCAATCTACTTTTTCCTTTCTTGTACCTTAGTGTAGGACTAAGTGATGCTGAGCAGAAGAAAAGACAATTTTAGATAGGGACTATGCTAATATGATTTATAAAAGCAGTTAGGCTGTTTGGAAGATAGGTGTGATGGCATATGCCTATGATTCCAGCACTGGGGAGGCTGAGGTCAAGTTTGAGATTAATCTACTACATAGTGAGGCCCTGTCTCAAAAATATTGGGCTGTTTGGTCCTTTCACTTATCCTTGGCCAGGTTTTTCCTATCCTTAAGGACATCTTTAAGCCTTCCTTTTGTTACTGTTTCTCTCAGCAGATAGTCTTACTTCCTGTAGATTCACCTACCTCTCAACTTTGTCTTTTGCATTTTTCATCTATAAGTTTATTTATACTTATTTATACTTGTCTGTGCCATGTCTGTACTATAGTGATTCTCAAAAAGTATTTTTCTAGATCTGAAACAACATTACCTGGGAACATGTTCTCAAATATCCCATGCTTACTGGAATCAGAAAGTGTGAGGTAGGGCCCAGCATTGTGTGTTTTGGCAAGCTCTCTAGATTATTTCCATACGTGATCAAACTTGAAGTCATAGATTTGTTCTGATTTTATTCATTGCTGTTTCATTAGCCACCTTTCTTTATCTGCAGCATCTTTCTAATAATTAGCTCCCCTCAAATGATAAATGTGTTAAGGTCTATCTGTTCTAAAATAATTTCTCCTAATCCTCTGACCTCCTCAAAATACTACCTCTCTCTTTTCTCCCTTTATCTATATTTCACAAAAAGAGTACTTCTCATCTTCTACTCCCTCTATAACCTGCTGTAATCATGACTGCTGTTTGCTTGAAATGACTTTCCCTAGGGTTAGCAGCTGTGTCCACATTATCCAATCCAATGGATATTTTATTTAAGTTATTCATTTTTGAGACAGTATCTCACTATGTAGCCCAGGCTGGGCTCAAACTTGTAGCATTTCTCCTGCCTCTTCCTCCCCAGTGCTGGAATTACTGGCATGAGCTCTATACCTGGCCAAGTGGACGTTTTAGTTCTCAACTTGTTTTAACTAACTTCCACTGCTTAAAATTCTTTTATTTTTGATCCTTTTGCTATGTTTCATTTGTGGACATTTTTTTTACTGTGCACACCTTAAATCTTTCTTTTCTCTAACCCAAAGTTTCAGTCTTAATTTTCTTCCTATACTTTCTCCCTGGTTGGCCCTTTGTTTTTCATTTTCATTTGTTTTGTTTCCTTGAAGTACTGGGAATTGAACCCTCATCCTTTGCATTGCTCTACCCCCTTAATACATTTTTAATCTTTAAATTTTGTGATAGGGTATCACTAAGTTGTGGCTTGAACTTGAAGTCCTCCTGGCCTTATACCTCTAGAGTGCTGGGATAATAAGCATGAACCACCATGTGCGGCTGGCCATTTTCATTTAAGACTTTAGCACTCACTCTGTTGTTTAAGGTATAGGCTAAGCTGTAAAAAAGAGACTCTATAAAACATAAAGCTTCAAACAAGATAGATCATTTGCCTCTCATGTAACAGGGTCGAGTAGTTTGTGATAGTGGGTGGGCCTAGTCCACCTATTCATCTAGGTCCAAGTTTCCTTCATTTTTGCTGCACTGCCATCTTCTAGAGCAGGGCTGACAAACTACCATGTTGGAGCCAAATCTAACCTGTCTGTGGTAAGTAAACTTTTATTGGCGCATAATCATACTATTTCTGTATTGCCCGTGTTGCTGTTGTGTTTCTGTGACAGAAACAAATAGTTGTGACAGAAGCTTGTAAACCCTATGAAGACTGGTATATTTTATTATCTGGTTCTTTACAGAAAGTTTGTTGGTCCCTGCCCCGTGGTACTGTTTTAATCTGTTTACTTGAAATTGGACCACTAGCACTTCTATTCTAGCCCATGGGAAGACAGAGTCAGGAGAAAGCAATTTTTGTTCTGTCAAAAATAAAATCCAATTGAAGTTTGCTATACACTAAGGGAGTACAGATCATGAGCCAGAGACTTCAGACCAAATAGTACAAAGTTCACCTTACAGCAGTCACAGCACATTTGTAATGCATAAAGGAGAAAGTACAGCCATCCCTCAATATCCACAACAGGATAGGTTCCAGGACCTTGACCTCTCCACATATGAAAATCTTTGGATGCCCAAATTCAAGATTATAGCAGATGGTACAGTATTTGTATATGTATTTTTTTTTTTTGGTGCCCAGAATTGAACTCAGGACCTTACATTTGCCAGGCAGGCACTTGTGCCGCTGAGCTATATATCCCTGGCTTATATGTTATGCTATCCTCATGTATACTTTAAGTCATTTCTAGATTTCTACTTACAATGCCTAATATATTATAAATGCAATATAGTTATTATACTCTGTTCCAAGAATGGCAGGGAAAAAGTCTATCAGTGTTCAACACAAATGCAAAATTTTCCTGAATATTTTCAATCAGTGGTTGTTTGTGCAGATACATAACTGTTGATATGGATGACTTGACTATCTTTTGTTCTTTTTTGAATGTCTGTTATACATTGTTATTCTTGTTAAGGCAGTCTGAGCTGTTTAAGCTGATATTTCTATACTTGACTGGTTTCATTTTATTGAATCATGCTGACAAGGATGTAAAGCTTTGTTTTGTGTTTATGGGTAGTAATAGTATCTTGGAAAAATTAGAATAATTTAAGTTTTGTATGATAGGTAGTTGGTCTTGGGGTGTTTCTCAACTATGACCTTTTTTATTAGCAATTTAAACCTTTATGTAGGTTTCAATAAACAATTTCAAACATACACAAAAATAGAGAAAAGTATAATATGACAAACATTCTGTATAAAATCATTTATATTCACTTGCCTTCCTCCATAGAAATTACTTCCTTGAAGAAATCTACTTACCATAGGGTAGTTTTGATTTGTCTTTAAGATAGTTTACATCTTGATTTAACTGGATTTAGGTTTTTACTTTAAAACTCTTTGTAGTAGTGATTGACCTCTTGCATAAGATCATGCTGGTAGTGCTTTACATAATAAGGACCTTTATTGAAACCTATAAAATTAAAGTTGGGCTTCATAAAAACAAAAGGTCAGGCCTAAATTTGGGCCACTAGTTGTTGTGGTGTTTTTTCCCCTTTCTTCTTTTGTGGTACTGGGAATTGGACCCAGGGTCTTTGCACTGAGCTTCATTTCCAACCCTTTTTATTTTTATTTTGAGACATTTTCATGCTAATTCATTAAGTTGCCTAGACTGGGTTTGAAGTTGAGATCCTCCTGCATCAGGCTCTCAGAATGTCGGGGGCCACTACTATTTAATGATTAAGTACAGTGATTCTGTATATGTGGATTCTATGGGAAGAGACTCTGTGGCTATTTAATGCTATATTTTCTTGCAACACTCAAAGGCCACTTGACTAAATATAGTGTCATGCTTTTTATAAATAAAACTAAATTTAAGGTCTTTTGAGCATAAAATTACATGAGAAAACATTTTAACTTTTTATAATTATGTAGCGAATGTATGTTCAATGTAGAGAGAAATGAAGAGCAGAACAAAAACACAAGAGAAACTTGTAACCTTACCATTCAGAAATGATTCACTCTCAGTTTTGGGTGTGTATGTTTGTTCATTCAGCCTCCTTGCTGTGTTTATGGATATTTTAAAATTTACATGTTTTTAATAAAATATACACATACTGCTTTGTCACAGTTTTCCTATTTAGTAGTTAATCTTTTTTATATTTTCTAATGCCAATAAATATTGTACAAGAATATTTTATGGTTCTATCACATTTTTCCTTAAATGGATGTGTCATTTATGTAACCAATTTGTTATTTTCTATACTCACTGAATACTAGTTCTTTTCCCCAAATTTTCTTCCATCTTTATAAATGAACTTAGTACGCAGAATGTGAGGCAAATGAAAATCAACTTTAAAAGCTACTCTTTGACAAGCATTATTTCCGTATTCAGTTTACCTCACTAATTTCATCAGAATAGCAGATATTTTTCTGAGAATTCTCAAATGGTTTTATCCTAACTTTAAATGAATGAAACATTTAATTTTGGTTCTTTCTGTCTAAACAAAATGTTCACTTCTTATTTTAGATCCGAATGCAAGCTCAAGGAAGCTTGTTCCAAGGGAGCATGATTGGAAGCTTCATTGATATATACCAACAAGAGGGTACCCGGGGTCTGTGGAGGGTGAGTACTCCTTCTGGTATTGTTCTATCTTCTTGAGTCCCCAGAATTTGCAAAGAATATTTTTATATGAACCATAAAAACGTGAATTCTAATTCCTAAAACGAGGTAAGAAGCTCCTCATCACCTGTGAAAGAATCAAAAGGTTATATCAATGGTTTTTATGTCTGCTTAATATTGGGAGATGATATAGTGGGAAGTTATTGTGTTGAGATAGCCATTCTGATTTGCACAATTGCATAGTGAATTTAGCTCATGTGTGTACTTTTTGCCAGTTTTGTGCTAACATAGTAATGTTTGTCTGTGATGCTCTCTGTAGTGTTTATGTTCAAACATTGTTATCTAAAATTTTTGTAGGGTATTGGGGGTTGAACCTAGAGCTTCACTTGTGCTAGGCAAGCACTGTACAACTGTGTTGTACCCCTGGCTCAAAACAACTTCTTTAACTTTATGAAAAGCAAATGATGTACTAAAAATATTAACAGTATAAAGAAAATTTTAAAATATCAGTAATACAACCACCCAGAGATAATTACTGTTAACATTTTGTCATATTATGTTTCAGTCTTCTATTTATACTTTGCTATAGCATTGTGGCTATACCTTTTTAATTCATTCTAGTCACAGAATTCTGTAATAGTAAGTAAGACTAATGGAATATCAAGAGAGTGGAATGGGAAGTCCATTAATATACTTCTGAATAACAATGAGAGCTTTGTTGTTTTTCTTCCTTTGTCGTTTTCCATGACTACTTATAAAAAATCCAAACATAGGGGGCTGGGGATTTAGCTCAGCGACATAAGCGCCTGCCTTGCAAGCAGGCAGTCGTGAGTTCAATCCCTGGTACCGATAAAAAGACAAAAAAGAAAAAAAAAATCCAAACATAAAAGTTGAAAGAATTGAACCATGAACACTACTTACTCATGATCTAGATTAAATTACTGGTAAAGCTTGGTATTATTTTTGTGTGTATATACATATATACATACTTGTTTTGCTAACCTGTATGAAAATAAGTTATAGACATTATGGCACTGTCCCTAATACTTCATTATTCAGAATATAAGAATAAGAACATTCTCTGGTATAATAACAATACCAGTATTACATGTAAAAAATTAACAGTAAATACTTAATATTCAGTTCATATAATTTCCTGTATTGATGAGACCGAGCTAGTTTTCTTATAGAATGTTTCTGTGTATGATTAACTTGTCCCTCTATTCCCTGCGTTATACATTGAAAGTTGAGACCATTGGCTTGATTATATTTATGTTAAACTTTTTGGTGGAAAGCTTCATAGGTGACACTATGTATTTCATGCTGCATCACAGCAAGAGGTGCACAGTGTTAGATTACTCCATGATTAAATTTAATTACTCAATAAGATGAGCTCCACCAGGTCTTATTGTGTAAAAATGTTCATAATTAGCAAGTAATCTGTAGGGTGTTACTCTACAATATGTCTGCATCCTAATACCTAATAACCGAACATAATTGCTTTTATGATGTAGGCTACTTACATGATTCAGGTATATAGTAAGAAGAAGCAAAGTACAGTGTGCTACGTGTCCTTTTTGAGACAAGATAACCTTTTACCTAATGATCATATCACCCAGAAATGATTCTTGAGGTTTGTTTTTTGATAACAGCAGTGTGTACTTTGTTGATTAGTCTAATTCAGGGATGGCGAACCTTTTAAGCTTTCAACCATAACAAGCAGCCAGTTGTGGCACAAGTGCCATAGGTTCACCACCACTGGTGAAACCAGAAAGCAGAACTAACTAGAATTTTTTTTTTGTATAAATAGAGTGAAACCAGAAAGCATAATTAACTAGAATTTTTTTTTAAATAAATAGATACCAAGAGACAAAAATAAGGCAATAAATAGACTTGACGATGTTATCAGTGGAGAACAGCTATTTTATTTTTATTTATTTATTTTTAAATTTTATTTATTTATTTGTTTGTTTTGGCTTTTGGAGGGTTTTGGAGACAGGGTTTCATTATATAGCCCAGGCTGGCCTCGAACTCGGCAATCCTCCAGCCTCAGCCTCCCGAGGGCTGTGATTACAGGTGTGTCCCACCATACCTGGCTTTTAATTTTAATTCCACACATAAAAATAATTTTAAATGTACACATAAAAATCTACCCTCTGAACCATTTTAAGTGTGCAGTTGAATACCCTTAAATACATTCACATTGTTGTGCAACCAGTCTCTGTAACTCTTCATTTTGTAAAAGTGAAACTCTAGAGCAGTTAAACAGTAACTCCCAGTTTCCCCTTTTCCCTCAGGCTCTGGAAATTCCCATTCTAGTCTCTGTCTCTATGAATTTGACTAGTCTAGATATCTCTCTAAGTGGAATCATATGGTATATGGCTTGTATGGGATTTCACAGTATGAGGTCCCCAAGCTTCATCCAGGTGGTAGCATGTGTCAAGATTTCCTTTCTTTTTACGAGTGAATAATGTTCCATTATAAGTATATACCACATTTTGTTTATGTATTCAACTATTGATAACACCTGGGTAGCTTCAACGTTTTGGCTATTGTGAATAACACTGCTGTGTACTTAGATGTACAAATATCTCTTTGAGAACCTGCTCTCAATTTGAGGGGTTATATACCCAGAAGTGAAATTACTGGGTAATGTGATAATCCTATGTTTAATTTTTTGAGGAACTGAACATAGCTGTTTTTATGATATAGGCTACTTATATGTTCTAAGCATGTAACATAAAGAAACAAAGTATGTATTCTTTTTTTTTTTTCTTTTTTTTGTCTTTTTCGTTTTTTTATCAGTACCAGGGATCGAACTCACGACTGCCTGCTTGCAAGGCAGGCGCTTATGCCGCTGAGCTAAATCCCCAGCCCCCAAAGTATGTATTCTTTAGAGACAGACATTTTATTTCCCTATTGAAAATATAGGACTATTTCTTATTTCAACAAGGAAATATTTTTGTTTTTCTTTAGACACTGTTTTATTTTTATACTTTTTATTTTATTTTTTGAGATAGGGCCTTGCTATTCTCTTCAGGCTGACCTTGAATTCACTCTGTAGCCCAGGTAGGCTTCAAACTTACAGTGGTGTGAGTGCTGGGATCATAGATGTGTGCCATACCCAACTTATCTTCTTGCTTCAATATTAGCATGAGTACTGGATACATTTCACTTTCTTAACTCCATTGAAAGGGAAAACAGCAAGAATACAATAACAAAGTACAATGGGTACTGACTTGAGAGTTGGAGAGACAGTTGTAAGGAACTGGAGAGCACTTGGCCTGTTGAAAAAGGATAGTTGCTCCTCAGCTCTGGCCTGTTGCTGCTATATGCTGGTGGGGAGCCAGGTGTGGCCATATTTTTTGACCTGTCAAGAGAAGCAGGAAACCTGCATTTCTATGTGAAATATTCTGAGTTTTTGCACATTTGCCAGCTAATTCTTTTAGAAATATTATGTTAGCCATTCAAAACAGATCTGCAGCCTGAATTTGGCTTGTGAGCCCCCATTTGAGTCCTTAATATTCACTAAAGTAGTCTTGTGGGAAGGTTATCATTTTTTAACAGAGTGAAAGGAGGTGGAGGAGTCTGAGAAGTAGGCAGTATTTCTCCTGATCGGCGAAGCAAGCATCTCCTTTATAAATGTACTGTATAAATCGAGTGTAGAAATTTAAATTTAGTTTAGGGGTTGAACACTTTTAATATGAGTTATCTCAGGAGTTATCACTATGGTATGTTATTTTCAATTTTTAAAGTTTGTTTTCATTTGTCCCCTATTTTATTGTGGGATAAGTGACAAAAATTGTGCATACTTAAGCAGTATGGTGTTCAATTTTAATGATATTTAAGCAGTTATTTAATTAAAACACTCACAAAAATGTAAAAAAAAACCAGAAATGCATAAAAATGAGCAGTAACACATGATATCCTAATCTCAGAAAAGACTTTTAATGTATTTGTTTCTAATCCTTTCTAAAAATTTGGTTCATATAAATATATGTATACAATCATATATAATTCATATCTTATGTCTTAGTTACTTTTCCTCATTAGTGAGGAAACCTCCACAATTAAAGGAGAAACGATTTGTTTAGTCCAGTTTGTAGAGGTTTGAGTTCGTAGCTGGCTGGCTCCAAGGCAGGGTGCAATGGCAGAGGGGCATCATGGAAGAGGAACAGTTCATAGTGGGCAGAAGGCAGCAAAGCAGCGAAGTAGAAAAGCAGGAGCAAGTGACAACAGTAGCCTTCTTTCGGTCTCTTATATTCTGTCCAGGCTACATTCCCTTAGGGGAAGTAGCGCTCACACACAATATAGGCCTTCCCATTATTTACACCCAGAACTATGCCAAACCAATCAGTGGACTAATTTAGTAATCATATACCTTTGACCCCAGCATCACACAACCCCAGCATCACACACTCTATATCCAGTTACCACTGAAAATCTCCACCTATACCTACACGAGGCTTTGAGGGGATATCTAAATCTAGATACAAGCCATAACATCTTGCCTTTTTTTTCATACTGGCATTGAATCCTAGGGCCTTTGCACTAGCTAAATTCCCAGCCCTAATTATTTATTTATTTATTTTTGATTTTAAGACAGGGTTTTGGTAAGGTCACTGAATTCCCGAGGTTAGGCTCAGACTTGCAGTTCTCCTGCTTCAGGTTTCCAGAATGCTGGGACTACAGGTGTATGCCAATATGTCTAGCTTGTCTTGCATTCTTCTGTGTTATCTCAATAATTCTCTTTTATCTTTTATATTCTTCAAAAATATGTCTTTTAACACTCTAGCAAACCTGTGCTGTTATGTGAGCCATGATGGGAACATTGTAAGCACACCTTTGGTAATGTTATCTTAAGAAGATCTGTAGTGGAAGTACTACTTTCCCTTGGCCCTTCCATGGTTGTTTCATACCTTTGCTGTCCCCCTAGTATGTGTCCCTTCTGCATATTCTACAGCTCTGTGAATTAAACTTGGAAGATCTCTCCTCACTGATTTTTGCTTCATTATTTTACTCTTCATAATAACTTTATTGGGATCAATCACATACCACGAAACTCACCATTTTTACAGTATACAATTTAAAGGATTTTAGTATATTCATAGACTTGTATATAATCATTATCATGTTCAAGTTAAAAATATTTTCATTACCAAAAAAGCCCCCTAACCTTTAGTAGTCATTTCCCCTTTTCCCCAGTCCTCCTGCCCCAGAGAACCACTGTATAACTTTCTGCCTCTATGGATTTGCCTATTTTAGGTATTTCATGTAAATGGAGTCACACGATATTATAACTTGTACATAGATGTTTCCCCAAAGACTCATGTGGTTGGTCATAGATGGGGCTTTTAAGAGGTGGCTGGATCAGATCTAGGGTTGTAATGCTGGGATTCACTCATGGTGCAAAGCTAGGATTAAGGCTGCCCTACCCTGGGTGTCAGTGCTACCTGCCCTAAGTGTGGGTACCCTGGATAGGATGTGGGACAGAAAGTAGGTTTCTTGTGGTTTGTTGCTTGCTTCTAGCCACTTTGCTTCTTTACTACTTTGCTGCCTTCTGCCTGCCGTGAACTGCTCCTCCTCTGTGATGCCCCTCTGTAGTGCTGCCCTACCTTGGAGCCAGCCAACTGTGAACTGAAACCTCTATGAACAGTGAGCTAAATAACCTTTAAACACAGGTGTTGATTATTTTGTCTCAACAATGAGAAAAGTAACTAAGACATATGATATGTAGTGTTTTGTGGCTTAGTCATTAGTATTCTTTTTTCAAGGTTAGTCCATGTTATAGCATGTATCAGTACTTCATTTCATTCTTTCTTTTTGGTTTTGTTGTGCTGGAGATGAAACCTGGGGCTTGTGTATGCTAGGCAAGTACTCTATCACTGAGCTACAACCCCAGCCTCAGTACTTCACAGTTTAGTGGCTGAATAATGATTCAGCTGTATGGTTATGTTACTGGGTTTGAGGATGCTGAAGTCTCCTTTTTGAGGTGGTTTCTCTAGGTTCCTTCTGTCCTGAATGAATTGGTTAAGACAAATGCAAATGGTGATAAGGTTTTACATTTATTAAAGATAGGGAAAGTAAACAACCTCTGCAGAACATATTTGAGCCAAGTGTGAGAAGTACGCTCTACAGGAGCGATTGCGTTACAGTGAGAGAACATAGTAGTAAAATGCAGTGTGGACCACCCTTTTCATATCTCCCATGCCTCAGGCTGAGGTCAGGTCTAGGCCATTCTATCAAAAGCTGCTTGAGTTCCTGAGAAAAGTCCATGTGCAGGGCTTTGGGAACTGTTCTGTGCATGTGTCTTGTGATTTTGTAATTAACATGTCTACACATTTCCCCAGCCAGCTTTTCCAATGTCCAAATTTCTCTCAATTATACCATGTTTTGTTTTTCTTTCATTGGTTATTTTATACCTTTTGGCCATTATGCCTAATGCTGCTATGAATATTGTTTTTTCCTTTTTTAAAGAAAATATTTTCAGATCTTTAGGGCATATACCTCAGTATGGAATTACTGGGTCATATGGTAATTTTATTTTTAACTGTTTTCAGGAAATACCAAAATGTTGGACTGGGGATATAGCTGAGTGGCACAAGTGCCTCTCTGCCTGGCAAGTGTGAGGTCATGAGTTCGATCCCAGTTAAACCAGAAAAAAAAAAAAAGCCAAAATGTTTTCCATAATGGGTCCTCTGTTTTTACATTCCCAAATTCTTCACATCTTCATCAACACTATTTTACTTTAAAAAAATTATTGTCACTAGTAAGTGTAAAATAGTATGTCATTGTGGTTATGATTTGCATTTCTCTAATGACTTTCCATATGCTTATTGGCCATTCATATGTCTTCTGTGGGGCAAATGTCTTGAGACTTTTTGCTCATTTTTGATTGGATTGTTTTGTCTTTTTATTGGATTATAAGAGTTCTTTATTCTGAATATTAGTTCCTTATTAGATACATGATTTGCAAATACTTTTTTCTATTGTGTGGTTTGTCTTTACTTTCTGGATAATGTGTTTTTAATCACAAAAGTTTTTAATTATAATGAAGACAAATTTATCTCTTTCTTTTGCTTCTAATGCTATAAGCGTTATATCCATGATATTATTTTTAGTACAGCAAGTGAATTGGGTATTTATAAGTGTTCAAGTTATAGTCATTGATTTGAATGATCTCTATATTTCAGACTTGGATTTTTCTTGCACCTTTGAACTCTCAAGCTATATTTGTTCACTTTAATGCTTATGTCACTCTATTTCCTTAATGTCTAATGTCACTTGTGTTTTGTAGGGTGTGGTCCCAACTGCTCAGCGTGCTGCTATTGTTGTAGGAGTAGAGCTACCAGTCTATGATATTACCAAGAAGCACCTAATACTGTCAGGAATGATGGGTGACACAATTTTGACTCATTTTGTGTAAGTAGGATGGGATGTGCTCATTCTATTTTTCTGGAAATTTGAGCACAAAATGCCTCTTCTATTGACATACTCAGATGGAACTGATAATTGATAACTCATAAGTATATGGCCTTCCTACCCTTGCCACTCCTTTACAAGCAATTCAAATCTTTTGAACATTTTATACTTCACACAGATTCCAAATGTTATGGGTACTTTGATACTTGGAAGCAGTGTGTAATACAGTAGTCTACACTATGTCTCTAGGATTTGTACTTATTTAAACATGACTTTATATATATTCAGCACATCTGTTACTAGCTTTGGTTAATTTCATATCAGAAAATAAACTTTTATCAGTGGGAATCAGAAAAAAATGGAGAAATTTTTGAGCACAGTTTTGGCTGAAGACTGTTGCTAATCTCATCTTCTATTTTTTTTATCTTCTATTTTCTTTATCATGTAATTGTTACAATATTTTGCTACTCAAGCGCATTTGTTATATGATTCTGTGCTTTGAAAACTTTATGTAACTAATAGATGATACATGAGACTGCCTACTTCAGGATCTTGTTAGTATTAAAATTTGTCTTGTTTAAAAAAAAGAGGCCAAGTTCAGATTGAAAAACTGAAGAGGCAATCTTTGTGTCATGTCTCTTTAGAAAAAATTTCTCTTTAGATTTTAATGCAAAGGCAAGTGTCAGGGTTTATCTGATAGGTCTGAGTTAGTATACTTTTATGTTTCTATTTAATTTCTATTTAAGTTGGGCAGAAGTTGGAAGTGGGGGTGATCTGTTTTCTTAAAGTTTACATCTTCAGTTCCAGCTTTACATGTGGCTTGGCTGGGGCTCTGGCGTCTAATCCAGTTGATGTGGTACGAACTCGCATGATGAACCAGAGGGCAATTGTAGGACATGTGGACCTCTACAAGGGTACTTTGGATGGCATTTTGAAGGTATGCATATTGTGGATTTTGGTTACATTTCTAGTTTTCTTTGATGTCTCAGACCTCTCTTCAGTCCTTATTCTTAGTTGCTGTATAGCATTCTGAAGATGAAAGAACCATTATGTGTATTTTTAGTAGTCTCTCAGAGTTATCCTCAGGTAGAAATGTGTCTCTTTGGTAACCTGATTCACAGTAGTCCTTAGTATTTATTATTCCAATTTAAGTGCTTGAGAATGCAGGATGCTTTTATTAATAGCTTCACGTAGAATTATCAGCAAAGAAAAGCTTAATACAGCTTGTATTTTTCCACTTTCAATAAGATAAAGATCCCATGAGAGAAAGCATGTCACTTAAAAACTAAAACCCTGGTACTTGAGAGTTGTTCTGTTTTTCACAGTTCGCTTTGAAAGTTTCTGTTACTATGTTTTTAGGAAGCCAAATATAAATGTATTATATAATTTGATGATACTACTATAGAAACAAATTTGGGCTAAAATATGACAGTGTTGTTTAGTTTCTCTGCTGTTATCAGTCTCATTGAACAACTGTTTATTATATATCAAGAGCCATTTTAGTAGCTGCAGAGAAATTATAGCTATTGCAAAAGTGCCGTAGGTGTACAAATAGATAATACAAACAGGTAAGTCATAAGCTCGGGTCTATGGGATGAAATTATAACCTAATTTGGAAGTTTGAAAGACTCCCTGTAGATGGTGGTAAATTGAATAATAATTCACATCCATTGAGTAATTTGCTATGTGTTGGGATCTGTCCTGATGAAGCTTATACGTATAGTATTCACTCATTCATTTAGTCCTCACCATTACCCCATGGGTAGATGCTGAAGGGCTGCAGGATTCAGTAACCTGCTCAAGGTTTCACAGTAAGAAGGAATACTAAGAGTAGACTCAAACCCTTTGTCTTTTAGCTGACCTTCTACACTGTGATGCCTTCCTCAATTTGACTGATTAGGGTTGGCTAGTTTATAAAGGGTATTGAATGTTATACTAAGATGCTTGAACTTTTTAAATGTGATGACAAATACTGAAATATTTCAATCAGGCCAGATTTGTATTTTCAATAGATCACTCTGGCTTTCTGAAGATGAGTTCTACGACAGTAATTCTCAAACTTGGATGCATATTGGAATCAGTTGGTAAATTTTTACGGTTCATTTATTTACCTTAGCCAATCAACACAGAATCTAGTGTGTAAGAGCCAGGTGTCAATATTTTTAAAACTTCACAGGTGATTGCAGTGTTGATCCAACATAGAAGACCATTAATCTAAGGGGATGGAACTGTGGTTCTTAAAATGCCTCAGAATAACCTGGAGGGTTTATAAAAATTTCATTAGCTGTGCCCCATCTCCAGATTCTGATTCAGTAAGTCTTCACCCTTCTAACAAGTTCCCAGGCAGTAGTGATGCTGCCAGGTGGAGACGACTTTGAGAATCTTTGCTAGAGATAGAGAAGCTGATTGGGAATGCTTTTATTAGTAATCTGGGAAGGAAATGATGAAAACCTGAACTTCAGCATGATCATGAGGATGTAGAAGATGGGGCAAACTTCAGAAAAATTTAGTTCAGTAAGTCAGTAAGACTTTATTTAGATAGTATGGAGAGTCATGGGAGAAGGGAGATGTTAAAGATAACTTCAGGGCTTTGAATTTGTTGACCAAATGTTGACTCATTGACAGAAATATCACAAGATGAGGAACAGGTTTTGTGGGAGACATTGTAGTTTTCACCTGACACTGAACTTTTGGTTCAGTGTGCATGAGGAATGGCCAGTGAATACATATGGATATATTAGCCCTAAATTGGGAAAGTTTGTGGATGTAGATAAGAGCCTGGGACATTAGCATGTGGATGGTACATGACCCAGGGAGAGTGGTATAGAAATTCACGTTTTTGTCTTTTCAGCACACTAAAGTAGTATACAACTCTTTCCAGGAATAGTGACCCCAGGGACTATACTGGTAGTTGGTAAAAGTCCCTCTTGGTATTTTGGCATGCTCCCCCTCCATTTGACAGTTGCTAGGGTAGAGGGAAGAGTAGTGTGCCTAGGAAAAATACTGGGAACACCAGTTTTAAGGGTTTGGAGGTGAAGACCCCAGGAAGTCTAAAGATTGATAGTTCAAAAGATATGAAGAAACTTTGGAGAGAGTGGGATCATGGAAGACAAGGGAGTAATGAGTTTCAAGAAGGAATGAAAGTTACTTAATTATTTTGGTTTTTGAGACAGGATCTTGCCATTTATGTAGTTCAGGCTGTCCCCAGACTCACTGTGTAGCCCACGCTACAATTCATGGCAATCCCGCTGCTTCAGCCTCCTGAGTGCTGGGATTACAGGTGTGTACTACCACGCCTGGCACTAAATGGTTAATGTCATTAGGTATAAACAATTTCAGTATGTTATAACGACCTCAAGGCGTATGTTGGATTTGATATTTTCTAAGGGGTGTTTGTTAGTTGGATTTGTAAATGCCAGATTGCTGTGCACTAAAGATTATTTACCACATTCATGATGGCTTGAACCACAGGTAGTAGAAGTGGTATAGTCATGCATGCAGCAGTGATGCATGTACCACCAATGGTTCAAGCTGCCCAGCAGCTTGAACATTCATATGTTATGAATTACACCCCCATCCATTATGAATGTTATTCGTTCAGTATAAAATATTTGTGTCTTACATAATAGGCATTGTTCTATTTTGGTATGGATACACTGATGAACAAAGTCCTTGCCTTTTGACCCTTAAAATTTTTTTCAGCACTGAAGTTTTTACTCAGGGCCTTGTGCATGGTAGGCAAGCTTTCTACCACTGAGCTATATCACCACCTGACACTTAAATTCTAATAGTAGGGTATAAACACATAGGAAGTAAAGGTAAACTAGACAAATATAAATTACTCTTTAAAGAAATTTGACTAAGAGATACAAGGAACAATATATATAATCACTAGTATTTATTGAACGATTATTCTATGCCAGGCACTCTATATAGAGTATATCCTTTAACTCCTACAGCAGTTCTAAGGAAATATGTTGTGTTTTCCATTTTATAAATGAGGAAACTTTGTATTAGAGTAAATAACTTACCCATTGTCATACAACTAATAAATTGCCAGTCTAAGATTTAGTCCAGGGTCTGATTACAAAATTTGTACTTAAAACCACTATGCCATACTGTATCTTTAGAAATGTGTTTTATCTTGGTAGAAAACATTAAGTACTTATATTTGCTCATTAGTTTACTTGTTATTAAAGTTCTTTAAAATGACTTTTATTTTGTCATTATATATGATAGCATCATACATTATTATTTTGGATTTCATTTTTAAGAGTCTCAAAAAACTTCACTGAATGGAGAATGAATCCATCTCTAATATAACAAAGAACAGCTACAGATATCATCCTGTTACCCCATCTAAAACACTTTACTGGCTTCTCATTGATCCAAGTCCCTCTGTGACCATCTTCTACTTCTTCAGCCTTATTTCTACCACCTTTACTCTCCATTCTAGACTTACTTGAATGATTATCAGCCTTTGACTTTTTTATGCCCCAGGTGTTCACCAGTGCCATAAATTTGTTAGATACTGCCTAGAACACTCTAAATATGTCTGTTACTCAGCTACCACCTACTCTTTCTTCAGATATCACTGCTTTTTCACAAAGGCTTTCTCTAGGTTATGCATGTAAGGATTCTTGTAGTTCTACTGTTGTAGTATTTTTTTACATTTTAAAAGCACATCTTTTTTGAGGCTTATTTCACATATCAACTCAATCCATTCAAAGTACCACTTAGTACACTTAGTATTTTAGTATACAAGTCATATACAGTTATTACTCATAATTTTAGAACATGAAAATGACCTCAAAAATAATCTCTTTGTCCTTTACCTATCACTTCTTAGCACCCATCTATCCTGTCCTAAGAAACAACTAACATACTTTCTATCTCTAGATTTGCCCATTCTAGATACTTTGTGTAAACAGAATTATGCAGTGTATGACCTTATTTTGTGGGGATTTTTGTTGTTTGTTTTTTGAGACAGGGTCTTGCTCTATAGTTCAGACTGGCCTTGAACCTTGAACGCATTATGTAGCCTAGGCTGGCCTCAAACTCTCAGTGGTCCTCCTGCCTCAGCTGTCAATTGCTGGGATTACAGGCATGCACTATCATGCCTGACTATATAACCTTTTGGACTGGTTTGCATTATTTATTTATTTTTGCAGTACTGAAGATTGAACTCAGGGTCTTTCTACTGAGCTACATCCCCAGCTTTTTAAAATTTTATTTTGAGACAGTTTCTTCCTAAATCTCTAAGTTTCTCAGGCTGGAACTGAATTTGTGAGCCTCCTGTGTAAGCACTAATTCTGTTGATGTCTATACAGTAGAGTCTAAATTCCATGGAAATAGAGCTATAGTATCTTGTTGGTCATTTATCCACAACAAGTGATTTATTAAATGAACAAATCTATATCACTTCATGAATATTCTGTTGTTTATATTTTAATATAAAGAAAATTCTCATTTTTTTTGCTCAACCATCTCCAGCAAAAATATACCCTCCAGTCTTAATGTTTTGAAGAAGTTGATCACTGGGATAAGAGATTTCTACAGATTCAGATAGGTCACAGACTCAACACATATTGACCAGAAAGTTTAATGTGCTCAACATACTGTGAGGTGGTGGGGATGTACTGGTGAACAAGACTGGTCTGTTGGATGAAATCACACTCTAGTTGAGGGAGACAAAGAATACAAAGAATATATGTATAAGTCATGTATGTTATAATTTCCCATTCTTTTTTTTTTTAATCAGTACCAGGGATCGAATTCATGACTGCGCACTTGCAAGGCAGGTGCTTATGCCACTGAGCTAAATCCAAGCCCCCAATTTTTTTCCCATTCTTTTTTTTTAGTATGCTGTAATTTCACACAGAAGGAAATCCTATCATGAAAACCTAGTAATAGTATTAAATTAGTCAGTGGTAGGTTTTGTAATCTCAAATAATGAGTATTGTAATCCAGGTATTGTGGATCCCTTTTCCAATTTTCCTCACAATCCAAAAAGTTGTATTTGTAATCCCATTGAGATATTATTGGAATCCCAACAAGTTAATTCCAATCTACCACCTCCAGTGCAACCCATGACTGAGAGTAAATACACCAAGACATATTCAAAGTTAAGGGCAACCAAGGGGTCCTAAGCGCAATCCATGTGAGGATATGCAGACAAAGGCCCTGATCTAAGGTCTCTTACAGAATTGTCTTGTGAAGAAAGGAATGGCTTGAAGATGAATGTTAGTAAAGATGGTGGGAATTATGTGAGTAACTTGAGCTGGCTAGCCAGATAGGGAGAAAAGCATCTCTGCAAAATGCAGAGACAAAGATATGCAGAAGGATCAATCTGCATATTTCAATTAAGGTAGCAACTGAATTGTTTTAGAAGGCTGTTGCTTCACTTTCTTATATGTAAACTTTTGTGCCCTGGGGAATCATAGCCTCTTTATTTGGAGGCTCCTACCCAATTGACATTCCTGGAGCTTACTGGCTCTGCCATCCTGCTGTGCTCATATCTTTTACAGAGAGCACTATGCTAGGAAACAAGAGACTGTCTGATGGCTTTAGTGATTACATACCAATACCTCAGGCTAGCCTTATTTGCAATGCTAAGAGTCAGTTGAAGAGAGAAGGAAATACCATAATTAGCTTTGTATGTATCAGGATATGGAAATAAGCCTTGATATAATTAATGTTGCAGAAATTGTTCTGCGTTGCTCGCTCAAATTGTCTCCTACAGTAAGAAACTGTGAAGATCGTGTGAGGATGTGATTTTTAAACTGAGATGTACCTGAGAAGGAGGTAGTTGTATGGAGAACTTGAAGCAAAGGATTTCATCAAGAAGGAGCAGGTCATAAAGGGCCTGAGCAGGGAATGAACTTGGCATATTCAAAGGTTAGAAAAAAGACTCCTATGGCTGAGTGTGGTGGATAAAGGAGAAATTAGTAGGATGTGAAAGTGGAGAGGTGGAGTAAATCATGTAGAATCATAGAGGTTATTTTGGAGAATTCGCAATTAGAATGAAATCTACCAGGAAGCCCCCAGAGCTTGTAGCAGAAAAATGACATGATCTGACTTAGAATTTTAAAAACTGTTATGGCTTCTAGGTAGAAATTTTAGAACAATTAGGAGTTTATTACAGTGCTGCAGGTAACAGATGATGGGATTGGTTCTCATGTAGTCCTCAAACCATTTACATAAAATAGACAAGGCACTGCACAAAATTTATAATGATGAGACAGAGTCATGGAAGGAGAATGACTTGTCCAACTCCTTATTACCTTCCCTTGTGTTGGCTCTCTTTGTAGCGCTTATTTCTGGGTCATATATGTTACATATATGATTCACACTTAGAATAAAATCTAGGCTGGGGATTTGCTCAGTGGCACAAGCACCTGCCTGGCAAGTGCAAGGTTTGATCCCTGGTACCAAAACAACCAACCACCTAAACGAACAAACAATGAAATCTACCGGAAGGCCTCTGAGAGCTTGTAGAAGGAATGTGACATGATCCAACTTATAATTTTAAAAATTATTCTGGCAAAAAAATTAAAATTGTTCAGGCTTCTAGGTAGAGATTTTAGAACAATGAGTTTGCTGTGGTACTTCTGGCAAGAGGTTATGGGACTAGATTGTACCTCTGAAATCCCTTGTCATTTAAAAGTTTATGATTCTAGGAAATATATAGTATAATATTTGCCTGTCAGCCTCACTAACTATATACTGTATGCGGGCAAGGACTATATAAATGATCTGTCATGTAACAGATTATCCCCAAACTTAGTGCCTTAAAACAGTCAGTCATTATTTTGCAGTTTCTATGGGTCAGGAATTAAGAAGCGGCTTAGATGAATGATTCTAGCACATATGTCTGCTGGGCTTAAGTCTTCTAAAGGCTTGATTGGGCCTAGGTTATCTGCTTTAAAGATAATACGTCCTTGTTGGCTGGAAGCATCAGCTCCTTACCACATAGGCCGTTCTTCATGACACAGCTGAGTTTCTCTAGAGTGAAGGATCCAGGAGAAAACTAGATAAATGCCCTATAATATATAAATTATCGTAGCAATGGAAATGACATATGTTCATAACTGCCTTATTTTGTTCTGGTGACTAATCTTGATACGTTGTATGATGGCATGAATAACTGGAGATACAGTTCATTAGGAGCTATCTTGGAGACTGGTTAGTGCAGGTATTCTCTCTGTTTTGTTAATGTTGTAGCCCCACCATCAGAAGGAGTGTCTTGCATATGGTGGGTGCTCAGGAACTATTTGTTGTGTAAGTGAGTAGATAGATTTAGACTACATATAAATTTAGAGTATATCTTTAGAAAACGAGCACTCATAGAGCCATAAGTTACTGGGGCAAAGTGGAAGATGGTTGTCAAATGTAAAGAGAAAGAGTAATTCACTTTATTTTTGGTTGTCTTTCTCTCAGATGTGGAAGCATGAGGGCTTTTTTGCACTCTATAGAGGATTTTGGCCAAACTGGCTTCGACTTGGACCGTGGAACATCATTGTATCCTTTTAGGACATGAGAATAAGGTAGATGTTTCCAAATCCCAGGTAATTCCAGGTTATGGAAAGGAAAATTTCATTATTAAAGCTTTTAGTCAAGTAAGAAATTATCCCATTGGGGATTGTTGAGGATAAAAGTAAATAATCAGCCTTTAATTGTAGGCTAACACAAGCTGAAGGGAGTAAAACAGATGTGCCAAACTGTCCTCTTTTCTTCTTTGAAACAAAATGATAGTGGCAGGGGGTAAAGGGATATAAGGGGGGGTGATGGGATGGATGGATATGATCAAAATTGTTATATACATGCAAGAAAATGCTACAGCAAAACCAAGTATTTTGTTTTATATATATATATACCAAATGACAAAACACATCCAATGTGGAGGGGGCAAAGAAGTCGGGTGCTGTGACTCAAGTGTGTAATCCCAGCACTATGGGAGGCTGGGAGGCTCTTAAATTCAAACTAAAACTGCTAAACAACTCAGTGACTCAGCAGACTCTCTCTCAGATCATTTGCCAGAGGGAAGGGACCAACAGATAGAGGGAGAGGTGGAGGAGATGAAAAAAGAATTAAGATGAGTTATGTACATGTATCAACTGTGCACAAGGAGTGTAATCATTATGTGCTGTGCATGTACTAATAAAAAAATTGAAAAAGACTGAGGATATAGCTCAGTGTGAAGGTCCTGGGTTCAATCCCTAGTATCCCCTCCCCCTCAAAAAAAAGAAAAAAAAGAAAGAAAACTGATAGGAGTTGTGCTTATGGGTTAGTCTCCTTTAGCTGTGTTTGAGTGCCTCCTATATGCAGAGCCATGTAATGCATACTGTGTGTGGTGTTGTGTGTAAATTCGTGAGTACTAAAGGTTTGAAATTAATTCCCTGTCCTTGTGGGATCTCTAGGCAGACAGATAATAGTCTCTTTCCCAACCTTTTTGGAATTCGTCTGACATGTAACCACTACTCAAGCACTAAACTACATGGATATTCTTGGATATTGTATGCATGTGTTTGCTCACACTGAAAACTATTAGTTTTAAGCTCTTTATATTGCTGGATGACAATGACCATAGTAAGCACTTGGTAGTCACTCAGCACATTTGATTTGACAAGTGGTATTTTTCAAAAAGACTTTTAAGCCAATGAAACTTAGGGTAGTGCAAGCTAAATACCTTAATTTAATAGAATGTAATACACAATTTAGAACTGAGTTTGCCTTTCAGTATCAATTCAGACATTTTCCATGACTTACTCCTCAGTTTTTTATTACATATGAGCAGCTCAAGAGGCTCCAGATCTAAGAACTGGATATATGAGAGCCCAGTTCCATCAGCCTTTCTACTCTTTCTCTTTATTCTTCTTTAAAAGTTCTAATGTATTTTGACAAAGTTGTGTTTACCAAAGCAGTGGTCTCCCAAGTCCTCCTGATAGAAGAACAGTAAGGTGACTCAGTGTTGCTCATGCATTTGTGTTATCATGTTAACTTTTCCCTGAGAGGAAGTGTTAACATTGAAACTCTAGTGCCAGATTGGTATCTTCCATGAAGATGGATACTGATGGGTAACATTCAGAATGGCCTTCTTTCTAAATGTGGGCGAAATGTAGTTGGTTGGCCCTAGATCTGGGTAAAAGGAAAAGACCTAGGCTTCTGGACAATTATTGGAATGTGTGTTATAGACCTTGGTTCTCATTAAAGTATTTATTGTCAGAATCACTTTGACTTTGTCTTTATTATTTTCCCCTTTGCCAACTCTTTTAAGTCACAGTTCCACCAACGTGATTAAGAGAAGGTGACCATGAAATTGGTCCTAGTCTCTTCAAGTATACATTTTGAGGATAGAATAATTGCATTGTGCTTTCCTATTGTCATTTATTGACATGACATTTACTTCAAAACATCAGGCAAGTGGTTCTTTCCTAAGCATGAATAAATAAGCAGCCGGCCATTTGAAAGTTTCTGAAGATAAAATGGTAAGATCCAGGTGAAAGATTTTAGCTACTTTCTTGTACTAGGACAGTGCCTGGCACATTGTAGGCATCAAATTTTGGTGGAATGAATAGTTTAAATTATCTTTATCCATTCATTCATTTATTTGTTCATTTATTATGTGCTCATTATTTCCTAGAGGCTGAAATATTAAAATGCATAAAACAAGGCTGAGTGTGGTGGCACACATCTGTAATCCCAGAATTTGGGAGGTTGAGGCAGGAGGATTGACATGGTTTTAGTCCACCTTGAGCTACATAGCAAGACCCTGTCTCAAAAAGAAAAAAATCACAAAATGCATAAAACAGTATTTATTTTAAGCTCACATTATAGTGGGGAAACAGATATGTAAGTAAAGTATTACAGTGGGTTTTAAGTACCGTGTGAGAAATAAAGTGTTGTAGCAGCAGATAGGAATAACAGCCTTCCCTAAGAGAATTTGCCAAAATTGCATAGCAGAGGTGACACTGAGCCAAGTTAAGGTAAGAGTGGATGTTATGTGCAAAAGGCATTTTTCATTTTCATAAATGTTTAACAACATGTACATATCTTTACAGAATCATACAGAATGGTTTCACCACCCTAAGAATCCTCTGTGCTTTTCTTTGTTCCTCTCTCATAATCTCAGGCAAACACAGAGCCTTTTACTATCTCTATAGTTTTATGTTTTTCGTAGTGTCATATTGCTAGAATCCTCTAGTAGCATTTTCAAATTGGCTTCTTTTGCTTAGTTATATGCACTTAAGATTCCTCCATGTCTTCTCATGGCTTGGCAGCTCATTTCATTTTAGCTGTGAGTAACTATCTTACATGTGCCATAATTTATTTATCCATCCATCTACCAGAGGACATCTTTGTCCCTTCCAAGTTTGGGCAAGCAAATTCTTTTGTTTTTTGCTTTTCAAAACAGGGTCTTGCTGTAGTTTATGGTAACCATGAACTCACTATGTAGCCCAGGCTGGTCTCAAACTCACGGCAATCCTTTTGTCTCAGTTTCCCAAGTGCTGGGATTACATGTGTACCACCATGCCCAACTGGACAAGCAGTTCTGAATAAATCTGCTATAAACATTTATATGCAGATTTTTGTGTGGACATTTAGATGAATACTAGGGAGCATATTTACTAGATGGTAAGATATATTTAATTTTATAATAAACTTCCAAACCATCTCCCAAATATAATTTTATGTTCCTAGGAGCAAAGAACAAGAGTTCTTGTTTTTCCACCTCCTGTCTGACTTTTGGTGTTGTCATTATTTTTGGATTTCAGTCCTTTTGTAGTGGCATCTCATTGTTTATTATTATATTTGTTTTTAAATGCTTACTACTTGTATCAAATACCCTATTTAATCCCAAATAGATAAGCAAAAGATAAACTATTTTTCTACATGATACAGCCTGAAAAATAGTTTCTTGGAGTTCATATATATTGTAAATTGGCTGTTGTTCACCTCAATTTACATATTAAGGGAAACTTTGTGTTTTCTTCTCCCTTTGTCTAAATAACTTTCCTCAAAATTTCATATACTGTGTCACAGTTGATAATGACGTATTGTATTTGTGTGATTATTTGATTAATGCTATATCTCATCAGTCTGTTGAGAAAGATAAGAATTATCAGTTTTGTTCACTGCTCGGTTCATAGTACCTAGCATAATTACATGCACTCAGTAAATGCAGTGGTACCTTAGTTCATGAACTTAATTTGTCCGTGATCTTGGAAAAGATGGCCACATTTGTATTTGTGTGGGAAAGATGGCTGTGGTCGTGTTTGTCACCTGGTATAGAGTTTGCAAGCAAAGTCAAAATTTTGTCAAACACTTGTTTGTGAACCAAATTGTGTTCATGAACCAAGATACCACTGTATTTGTTATATGAATAAATTACTTGATTTGTAGCCAAAGGACTGGATACATTGCCTAAAAAGATAAAGGTTCAGCAAATACTATGGGATTTATATTGAATTAAATTTAAATTACTGGGTAGATTATTGTGTGCAAAGGATTATATCAAGCCTGAGCCACTAGAAGGGCTATATTGCTCTGGCTTTACATACTATCCATATGCTGATGACTTCCTAATGTACACTCCCAGACTACTCCTCCGCCCTGAACTCTGTAATTGTGTGCCTTTGTTAAATTTTAATAGGCACATCAGACTTAACATGTGCAAAACAAAATTCTTGATTTGTCCCCTAAAAAGTGTTTTAGTGATTTAGGCCTTCAAGTAATCCTTACCTCTGTTCTGTCTCTCACAACCCACATCCTATTCCCTAGCAAGTCATATTTGAAGGGATGAAGTGATCAAAATCATTATGCTGAAAAAGAGTAAGTCTGTAGGCTACAAGGTGGAAAAACTCTCAGCCCTCCTCCATTTTTTGAGAGGCTGGAAACAAGTCAGGTAATAATAGCTAAGGTTGGCAATGGAAGCACAATCTTTATTCCCAGCTACTTGAGAGGCTGAGGTAGAGGATTCCTTGAACCCGGAAGTTGGGAGCTAGCCTGAGCAACATAGTGAGACCCATTCTCAGGAAAAAAAATTAAAAACAAATGATAACTACTGATAATATGGCTCTAATTAGGTGCCAGGTACTGTTATATAAGATAATACTTATAATAAGGATATTATTATGTTTATATATATTATGTTTATAAAATGGTCTAAATCCTTACTTCTACCCCTAGGAGTTAGACACTATTCTAATTTTTCGGATGAGAAGCACAGAAAGGTAATGATTGGGTTCTACAAAGTAGCAGTCTGGCTCGTGAGCCCTTGTGTGTAATCACAATGCTAGAGATGGACTGACATACCTTGTCCTGAATTGCTAAAGTTTGTAGCAGGTGAGCACTAAAGAATATTGATTTCATTCCCCTATCTTTATAGCACCCCAAGAAAAAGAAGGTCAGTAGTTTTTGTGCTTTGTCACGGTTTGACACATACCTGTTTCACCGGATTTAGATTATTTTCCTGGTGGCCTGTGACTGAATATATTATTTCCCTGCTTTCTACTGCTTTTTTCTTATTCCATTGTCGGGCCCTTTTTTTCTGTTTGACCTCCTTCATCACTCCCTCACCCCTTTTCCTCTAGTTTAATTGACTACAATTCACCAGGGCTAGCACAGCAAGATTCAGAAAGGTTCTTGCTGTCAGACACAGCACATCAGAACCACACGCACTTGTTCCTTTTGATCATTAGACCTGTGGTATATATTCCACTAGCCTGAAATTTAGCAGTTTGGACACAGGCCTAGATTTGTTGCCCTCTTGCTGCTAAAGCAAATAAGTATTTTGATTTTAAGCAAACTTGTAGAACAAATGATTAAATTAGTAAGAACTTGATTATAATTATTTTGTGTTCACTATAGCATGTTGCTTAAGGTTTTGTTTTTGCCTAGTCAGGATATTACATATAAATTAAAGTAATAAAATTGCTTCTTTTAGTCAGATATCTTTATGTCACCTCAGTTAGAATGGCCATTCTTCAATAATCTTAATCCTAAGATTTCACTGCAAAGGGTATTTCTCCTCTATTAGGGTCTCAGTATAGGAATCCAGTTGTATTTTGAGCTGTGCCTCACTGATCAGTGCTCTTTATGTATCCTTGTCTCCCGAATTTAGTAAGTAGGAAAAACAATGTAATGAGTTTATTGTATAAGGTTACTAAAGAATTTGATAATCTTAAAGTCGTAGTTAGAGTTTTGTATAAGAAATGTTTGGGGGCTGGGGATTTAGCTCAGCGGCATAAGCACCTGCCTTCAAGCAGGCAGTCGTGAGTTCGATCCCCGGTACCGATAAAAAGGAAAAAGACAAAAAAGAAATGTTTGGATTATGAGTGTTATGCCCCCGCTCTTTTAACCCCTGAAATAACATCCTAGCCATTCTGCCATAATTTCTTGGTTTCTGTATCTCACTTTCCCCTGCCCCTTTGGCACTGGGGATTGAGCTCAGTGAGCATTGAGCTGCATCCCCAGCCCTTATTTTATTTTCAGACAGGATCTGGCAAAGTTCCCCAGCTTGGCCTCAACTTGTTATTTTCCTGCTTCAGCCTCCTGAGTAGCTAGGATTTTGCCTTTTTTAAAAAATAACCTTTGAGATGATACTACAGCTGTTCAGTTTTCTATCAAAATGTTTTAAAAGTTTTTTAGTAATTCAATAGACAAATCTGTAAAAATACTACAGGTGGTAAATGCACATTGAAGACAGCGTGACATTTTACTATGTTCTTTCAGTGTGTTTATCAGCTTTTTAATGCCTTAATAGCAATACAATTGAGACAGAACTGAAACTGATAGGGATTTATTATGGTAAAACTCTGAAAATAAATGAGAACTGTGATTAAATCATGGAATTATTGGGCCACATACTGAATAACAGTTACAGAAGCCTCAAGCTCTTGGCCCTCCGTTCTGATCTTAGTTCTTCCAGAGTGAATGCTGCCTGCTCCATTCTGTAGAAAGGGTTTCAGAAGAACAGCAACTGCTTTGTGCATTAAAACAGGCTCTCAAGCCCTCAGCAGCTGTATCAGTCGTTTCTAGGGTTCTTCATAAAAGAGCTCTTTGAGCCCAATGGCTGATTACAGTCCTAACAGCTTGCAAATCCAGTGAACATATGGCTGGGTAGTAGCATGTTAAGCAGTCATGCACTTTCATGGCACAGTTCACCCATTAGGTTGAGCACATCTTTGATTCAGCAGACTGCGGGACTATGGCTTCAAGGCTTCAGC